GTTTATTCACCTGGCACAAGAAATATCAAGGATCACCTTCTTTTATGTCACAAGTTGTTTTCCATTCAATGTTTGGAACTGCAGTTAATGATCTTGGCATTTTAAGTCAGACAACCACTAATGAGATATGGAATAACCGGAAAGATGTTGGAATAGTTTTTATACAGGCAAGCAAGCAAGAGCGAAAACAATTTACACCAATTCTTTTTACTAAAGTTTCAAGTATAACTGAAGCTAAAATTGTACCACCATATATTTGTACAGTAGCTCTGCCCTCTGGAGTTTTGCAACACCATATAGCACTAATCAATTGGTATGATTATACAGGACCAACAGAAAGGCGTTATGAAGACAAATTCGTTTCTTATATTTACACGAGATGGGGATATAATTTATTACCTATTCGCTCATTTCATAAGAACTTGGAATCACTAAGGGACAATCTCATAGAGTTAAAACAGTTATATGCTGCTGCATTGGAAAATGATGAAAAATTACCAGTGATAAGTAAAAAGACTATATGGTACAAAATTACAGACCAGGGCGTGGAAGAATTAAAAGACTGGATGGCTGAAAAAAAAGGAATTTATTTTTACACATAATGTATTATGTTGTATTCATATAACATAAACTGAAACTCATTAATTAATTAAAACATTTTTGTTCTTATTCTTTGATAATCGTATTAAGTGAAATTATATTTACCTATGTTATATGAGGTAATCAATTTAATAAAGTAAAGACATCTTACAAATATTCTATTTTGTTATGATTATTTTGTTTAATTCTTCTGATTGATATAAATAATTACAGATTTAAATTGATTCCTTATGCATATTGATACTAATTTCAGTTTAAAAGTGAAACACTGAATGAAAGGTTTGAAGTTAGACGGATTTGAATTGCAAAGAAAGGACAAGGCTTCTCTGTTCAAGCTTTAAAACTGTCAAAAGAAAAAATTTATTGTTGAAGTTTTAAAGTTGTTCAAGTTATCGAGCGTGCACTATATATCCTAAATACTGAGCTAATCAAAAATTTTGATAAAAAAGTAACAGCTTAATTTCTTTCTATATATTTTTTTTAGAAGAAGTTTTTTCTGTTCAAGTTACAGTACAATAATATATTTTTTAAAAGTTAGACGAATTTGAATAGCAAAGAAAAGACAAGGACAAAAATTTTATTTAATTTTTTGAAATTTGGCTGTCCATACAACGCTGTTTCAAGTATTGCCAAGTACTCATCATCAGTGGTCTTAGGAAATAATCGAAAAAGGTTTTAATATTTTCCATTGAATTTGCTGCGCACTTTGTGTCGCATGCAAAATCCAAAATCCGACTCAGTCAAAAACGCTCACAATAAATCAATTGTTGTTTCGATTTTTCATTTTGTAAATATGTCGTTTAACATATAAATTGCGTTTTTTTTGTGGAATCAAATCACGAATACTGAAGCCAAATGCCAATTTGTTCAAATCTTGGCATTGGACACATTAAAAAATAATATCTTCAACAATATTTGCCACCTAATTTACCTAATGCAATTGACAAGATCGGAATAAACATTCTGATTTATGAGTCATGAGTTTTTATTGAAGGATGATTTCTGGTATGTAGAACTCAATCTGCATAATAAAGCTTACTCTGGTATCCGGATCCTAAATTATTTATTTTTGGCTATTTAATTTATGCCGACGCTTATGCCATGTAAAGATTACTTTTATTTTAATCAATTATAGCATTTTCAAAAAATATATTAAAAACATTCTGTTTTTTAACTTTACGTGATATAAATAACAAATTTCTTTGTTGTTATTATTTTTCTTTTAAATTTTGTATTTAGATGACGTACTACCCACCTTGAAAACATTTTACTCGATTGAGTATTAAGCTGACTTTTTTTCTTATACTCGTAATATGTATATTGCGTTCTTTCTTAAAGTTTTTAACTACGATAATCAATAATAAATTCTTTAATCAATTTTAAACATCATTATTATCATCGTCATAAGTTAGTACAGATATGATAATGAATTGATCAATTTAACAAAATCACACCCACAGCAATGTTTTGATATATATTTGCGAGTCTTTTTTTTCTCATTTTTCTACTTTTTGAGTTTAATTAGCGAATTTCCATATTCAACTATAAAAAAGTGGTTGATGTCGTCAGAGATGAAAACTAAAATATTTCCCACACGTACAAATTAAATAATTGAGGAAATGAGCATTTAAAGTTGTTATTCAAAAATACTCATCATCGCATCATCGCATCATCGTGTGGAGTACATATGAGCAAATACGAGTAATTTGACAAATCTGCAGTGCATAAAGAACACTTCAGTTGAAATATTCGTTAGTTTTGTTCAAGTCGTTTTACTGTAATTTTCCAAATATGTTCTCGGGTACCGTAAACAAACATATCACTAAGTGATATCATAAATAATAGTTAGACAAAGGAAAAATTTCATATCAAGACCTTTATTTAATTTTCTATTTAGCAAATAATAATTATCTATAACAACTAATCAATTTAAGATAAAGTTACTATTTTGTAGTTTATCTCTTAAAGTACATACACATATGAATGTACAGTACAATGTTTATATAAGCATTTGTAAGTATCAGTGATGTTCTTGGGTGCAAAGTCGACCTTTGTTTCTGACTGCAGCTTCTTAGAACACAAATTTTCATAAATCTTCAATTAAATAAATTAAAATTAACATGGACAAGTTACTTTGGATCATAGTTTGTTTGCAAATTGGATGATAAACCAAAAGTTAGTGATTGCATGAGAAAATAAATTTTGAAAATGACATTTTTGACAAAATGACATTATTAAAATATTTCGAGATTACTAGAACAGTCTTTCAACATCAAATATTGTTCAAGTCAATAGAATCAATTGTATTTATAAAAATTAAATTATTATTTAATAATATTTAATATTATTGTATTATATTATTGATTTGTAATGATATTTTTAAATCAATAGATATCTGTTATTCGTCGTGCGTTTTAACTAAGATGGATATTATATTTCGAAGATTGAATTTCTTTTTAAAAATATCTATTTATAATAAGTGTACTCACGTGTAAATAAAACATTTCCGCAGCAGACGTTAAAATGTATACCTATTTTCGATCAGATAATTTGAATTGATCAACGAATCTGTCTTTGCAAGCAAATCTGTCATTGGAAGTAAATCTTTCATTGATTGCCTCTAGCGTATCTCTCTCTAATGTAGAAGGACTTGTCGATGATAAACTAGATATATTAATATTTTTTCTTTTTTCTCTTCATTATCATTTTCATACTCTATAATGTAAGTACATTCTATAAGCAGAATATAATACGATATATATAAAAATCATATACGATATACTATATATATATCGGGTGAACCAAGAACGAGCAGCAAAACAAGCACTTGTAAGAAACCTAATTGGATCCCACAGAAGAGGCAGACCTAAAAAGAGGTGACTAGATTATACTGAAGAAGATTTAATGAAACCGAAGATTGAACATGAAGAAGAACTTATATTGCAAGTTGTAAGATAATATCGTAGAAAATATTCTGACTATACAAAAAGAATAATAATAATTTAATATATTTGATGAGATTTGTGAAAATTTTGTTAAAAGATCTCAATACACGTTACTCATAAATAACTCGCTCTCTCATCAATATTTAATTCTAAAGGGATCAAAAAACCGTTCACTTTCATAAAAACTGTTACTTTTATATGGGAGGTGGTGTTAATGCTTGAAATAAGGTTTAATAATTTATGAAAAAAAATTGTAATTTATACATCTGTAACTTCAAGTTAACTACTGATTTTGTAAATGAAAATGAAGTTATACAAGTAGATTTTTGAAATATGTGTACGACAAAATAATTGATTTTTTTTACTCGTGTCTTCAATATAAGCTTACTATTTAAGGTTACTTTTAGATATTTTACTCCTGCAATTAATTTTAAGATTAAGATTAGCCGCGTCTCATACAAACTTTCTAATAAAGAGTATGATTGAACTTTTGCTAGAATTTATAGACCCTGCAAAACTATTTACATCTTGGTGTAAAAAGTTTTAATAACTGTCCTATATACCATATATAATATTCTCACACTCATCGATGATATTGACAGTTCTCAATTTTAGTAGGTTAAGTTGAACATTACACGTAAGGAAGTTTGTCTTGATATAGGTTTAATAACTGCGTTGTACTATATATAAAATTAAAAGCAGTTTAGACTTACCTTTTAATAATCAATGTTGCCGATCTTAGATTTTTATGGGATAACATAAAAATAAAATAATGATGTTACTAAAATATAACAAAAAAAAAGCCTAATTGTGGTAAATTAGAAACATGTCGCGGACCGCAGGAAACCCGTGGGCTGTGTTTTGGACAGCACTGATCTAGTTGAAGTGGGGCAAAAGTGATATTAATTGGTTTCAAGCCTTTTTGTAAATTCACTGAAAGCCAATAGCAGTGTATCTATATCATTTCGTTTGATTTTATGTTATCATATCATATGTTAATAAATTATCTTATAAATATACTATATACTTAAATGTAGTTTCACAATTCTGCTCATTACCTATATATGAGACATAGAAGAGTTTAGTATTAATTTTTAAGTACATTAATTTTAATTAAAAAATAATTAAAAATAAAATGAAAAAATAATATGAATAAAATATATTACTGGTTAAGATGTTACTTGGAATATATTAGTGTAACAATAAGACCTTAGATTTTTGTAATGAGTGAGAAAAATAAATACAAACAAAGCACACTGATACTTATTTAATCATAATTTCGATTTGAAATTTGAAATATGCCAAGTATATTAAAATTCATAAATTAATAAAAAAATTTGTTTTTAAGTTCTATAGATTCCATTTTTTTTAATTTCACATGCAATCGTTTTTATTTAAATAATTAAGAATGCTTATTATAAAAATTCAAAGTTCTCGGCTCATTTATTTGTTATATTAAAATTCCAGTATATATTTTGTATGGGAATTAATTGTTATTAAAACCACGGCAATTTTATAAAAACAAAGTATTACCATAAAAATCTGTTTACACGTTAAGGTTCGATGCCTTCATTGGGAACACATGTCATTTAGGCCCTTTATATGTGTCAAGTCAATGTCAATGAACAACGTGCAATGTAGGTAAGCAAATGGGGCGAAATTGGGCTTGGCCTTCTACTTGAACTTGACATAGTTCAGTTTTTTTTGTGTTGTAATTATATACTACTATTTAAAAACTATTTGCATATTATTATATTAAAGTTTACAGCTGTGATACGTAGTTTGCATAAGAGTACACATATTGTATATACGACGTAGTTGAAGGCGTATCGAAAATGTCGGTTGATTTGTTTGCACTCGTAAAACGTATTAAAAACTACACTTCAGCTCGATTTAGCTTTGAGTACAACTTTCCAGAAAAAGTTGTCAATTTAATTAGCAACTCGTTATAGAAAAGATTTACTTTTCCTTCACTGTATAGGGCAATGTATCTATCCCAAGGTTTATGTGCATATGTCTACAATCGTACAAATTGTGACTGGTGCTTCCGTATGCTTATTCAATTTTTATTATTATTATAAATCAATTATTATATGTATATTATACACTAGTAAAAGAGATACATATTCGCACCAAAGCTGAGAAGTGACTTTAATTTATAAATTTTGTCTATTTTTAGAATGTGAGCAACTTAATATAATTATTAGTTAAATAAATAAAATAAATATTTAATTATAATGTCTGATGTGTCATCATGTCAGATTAGAGAAAAGATCTATTGATCGCCCATTGTAACTGAATAAATGTGCGATGTAAAGACGATGTAATGGCTGCAAGGAAAATAGTTTCTTTTATAATTAAAAATTTTTAATTGTTAATAAAAAAAACGCCCTTGCAATTAAAAAATCTAATGGTAACGTAATTATGATAATTTTATACAATTTAAAGATTACTTAAATTCCAAAGAAAACTGTGGCCAATCTTAAAGTATCTCAAAGTATTTTTGATTAAATTTTAAATAGGTCACACTGAATACAATTTCAAAATTTTTGTTTATTTTGCATATTAGTTTTCTCCTGTTGCTAATTAATAAATCAAATAAAATATTTTTATTTTTATATTTTCAGTTAACAAATTATGTGTCATTGCTAAGCTGTAATTAATCTCAGATGTTGGACCGGTAGAAGTTTCATAACTACGTGTATCGATTAAATCATTAAACAATACCAATTTAACTTTATCGTGATTTTAATTTGATATTCAATTGCATTAAAAAACACAAATAGAAAGATATTTTATCAAATATGCCAATAAAAAATCTACTACTCCGCTTCCAACCGGCGCAGCTATACATTGTTCTGGTGCTGTCAATATGTTATTTTGCGGTGCAATTAGTCCTGAGCCACATTACGCACGCCTTGACGCTGCTGATGGCATCTTATCATATGTTGTGCAATATATTTGCACTAACGGGTTGCATTTTAACGATTAAGGTAAGTTGCAATAAACATTACTTGCATTCAAATTAACTTAACTTGAACACACATGTCCAGCCAATAAATTCCTACACAGACTTAAGCGAGGTAATCAATTGACATAGGTCCACACTAGAATGGAATAACTAGAATATACTAGAATTAGCATAATTAATAAACCTGATTATTATTATTGAAACAAAATTGAAACAAATAACTTCTATCTGTTACTTAACTTATCGCATCAAAATTAATAAATGATATGAGATAGTATTATGTTCACTATGGTATATTCAAAATATTTACGATTAATTGCAATGAACATTTTGATTCATTTCTAAGGCTCTACTGTAGAGTTTTTTTGTATAGTTGTCATGTTAATTCACTTTTATTTGACTGCGGGATTCATGCATTTCCATGTAACGCGCATTTATTTACTGTGGTCCTTTCGGAAATACTTCTGGACTGCGTATGAACAATACTAATCCATGATATCACGGGTTAATGCTTAACTGAGTTAATCCAACCTAACCTAACATGACTATGACCTTACCTTTCAATGGAACTGTTTTTACCATTGTTAGACTACGTAAGTTATGTGATATACGCAATTTGCAATTTCTCGTTCATTTCCCCAATATAGTGGTATGTCCAAACTCTTCTACATGTATAAATTGATGCAGACACTTTTTTTTAATACTTTGTGATCAAAAAATAACTTAAATTTTTAATTTTTGAATTCCCGCGCTTATCCAATCGGTAAATTTTTTCATTTTCACGCTGGCAACGCTATTATACATATGCTGTCAAAGTTTAATGCATATCGTACGATTAGTTTTTGTTTGGTGTCTATTCAAAGAAGTAGAAAAATTTTCATGTGGCGATTTTTACCTTATGGCCTCTATGGTCTCAAAACGCGCTACTCGCAATGGCAATTTGAGTCGGGGGAAGAGGAAAAAGTCACACGGGGTCATATCTGGAGAGTACGGTGTTTGGTTGATGATATTGGTAGAATTTTTGGCCAAAAGCTGCGGCTTTTTTTGAATGAAATTCAGCTTTTTTGCCAACAGCCGAGAAGCGACGCGTTTCAAACCCAAAACAACAGTTAAAATGTGTTCGGCAGATATGAGATACTGCAATCTCTCTAATCGGTTCACAACGATTTTCCAACACGATCTGCTTCGCCGATTCAATTTTTTTTTTAGTAACAGAAGTTGTTGGGCGGCCAGGGATCTCATCATGGTCCAAGCTTGTACGACCGTCTTTGAACCTTTTAAACCATTCGTATACTCGTAGTTGCGACACACACAAATCACCAAAGGCCTTTTTAACTTTTTTTTAACAGTTTCGGCACACTTGAATCCATTTGCAACACAAAATTTGATGCACGCACGTTGTTCTAATCCATTATAGTAAAAATCGCCACACGATAATTTTTCGACTTTTTGTATAGACGCCAAACAAAAACTTATCGTACGATATGCGTTAAACTTTGACAGAATGTGTATAATAATGTTGCCAGCGTGAAAATAAAAAAAATTTACCGATTGGATAAGCACGGGAATTCAAAAATAGGCCTCTTGTTCTTTTTTGATCAGAAGGTACACTAAAATATTTGCATATACTGCTTTGATTGGACGAGTACCTTTCTAATTCACTGTGAGTAAATACGGTACCAATCTTGTGGATAGCTTATTCATATCTAAATCTCAAGTGTTATATATTAATCTCGAGTGTTATACAGACTTCCCAATCGAAAATGAAAATTGCACTAAAAGTGAATCTCGATTAAAAATATTTGGCGCAGATTTACCAATCGAAAGCCCTTTAAAGCTTGAACAAGGTCCAGAACTAAATCTAGAGAAGCGCTATTAATCTGTTCTAGAATAGGAATAGGAATTAATAAATAACTGTATAAAATATTTTTCTATATGAGTAACATATAACGAGATCTGCACGTCGTCATACATTGTAAAAACAAAGTTGGTTTTCCAAATTGTTTTGTAGGCCCCTACGGATTACATATACTTTATTTTAAAATTAATTATACATTATTACTTGAATATTTATACTAAAATGTGTACTATAATTTTGTTATTTACAATGGTATTATACAGTTTTTTATAAGCGTCTATGCATAATAAAATAATTGCTATTTAAACGTTTATGTGGTTCATTAAACCATTAACGGTCGAATGAACTATTATTTCGTTTGAAAAAACAAAAATTATTATACAATAGCAAATACCGAAAAACGCGCGCACAATGACGATATTTCTGGGACGTGCTTTAGCGCACTACCAACGGCATCCCAAGCGGTTGGTTGTAGAGACGCGTGTGCCCGTCCATCTATCTGGTGTCGGGCGCAGATTTAAACCTCAAATTGTGCGTAGCACACTTTTGAACTGATTTATCTCGTGCGTGTTGATGGTAATCCTTCTCCGTCTTTTGAAACTAACGTGCATTTTTATTTGGAGTGGTTGGAATGGAATTTTACTTTTTTACAATAAAAAGAAATTAATATTCAGTGGGATTTGTGAAATTTAATGCAAATTTCTTCGATCAATGTTGGAGTTTTGTTAATTCAATAAAAATATGTATGGCATGTATTCATGTATGAGCTCCGCATACATTAGTTTGTTAACCTTGAAAATTTAAATAAAATATGGGCCAATGAACGCTGCATGACCAATTATTTAAGGTGACAAAAACATAACAAAAACTCATTCAATTTTTCGCCGATTTAATCGTTGTCTTGCCAAATTAATTTAAACCGCTGTTTATTTTAAAAATTGCAGAAAAAAACTTTCAATAAAATTACATTTTATCTAATTATCTAATATAGGCATGAGTTTAAATAAGAGCCTTTTAAATTAACTTGCTGTACCTAGCAACTTATTCCATAAACGAAATCTCCCGATAACATGAACGATTTTTATCTGTTTTTATCAAAATATAGACAAGTGACGATAAGAGTCCGATAACAATAACAGCCGCTTACTTAAGTGCGTGGCATGTTTTTCACGGGTTTACTGTGTAAACCACAATAATTTGTTTCCTTCAGAAAATTAGTCTAATAAACTGATAAGAAAACTCATTTTCTTGTCATTATGACAATATATTTAGGCATAATAACAATTATCTATGTACCATGTATTCTAAGTAGTAATCTCAATTTAATTTTAATTGGTCTATCCACTCCGATTATTTTAATTACAAGTACTCTTATAAGCATTTAATAAAATGTTTTATAAACACAAACTTTTATATATCTATTACAGCGTATATATATTAGTATATAGATAATTATATATTAAATATTAAATTTAACATTTAAAAAATTAAAAATATAATTAATTAATAAAATTCTGAAGTTGGTTTTTGATTTCGTTTTAATATAAACACAGCAAGTGAATTTGTCAATGAACTTTCACAGCAAAGTAACAAAATTCCAAATAAATGTGCGAACATAAAAGTCAAGTACGGCTTTGGCTCAGTTGGTTAAGGTGCACTGACTCTGAGCTTCAAATTTGGCAGGACACGAGTTCGATTTCTGGTACTTGCATTTTAAAAAAATTATTCGCGAATAATCAATTATAAGAATTATTTCCAAAAACCACTGATGATGGGTATTTAGCAATACTCGAAACAGCTGTGTGGTCAGCCAAAAATTCAATTAATTAAAATAATATAAAATTAATTTTTGTTGTTGTAGTTCACTACTGTTCTAAAAACCTCTTTATATTAAATATACATAAATGTTTCTATCTACTTCAAGTTATAAGTATATTCGCTTATAAAAACTGACGGAAAACTTCATAAGTGGTAAATTTCTTGCAGTATTATTATTGAATGTTTTTATGATTTTAAATATACATTTTAATATATGGTTATATAGATATGTATTTATACATATGTAATAAATACACATTTCAAAATATGATTATATAGGTATGTATTTATATATACGTATAAATAAATACGTAAATACATAATTCTCGGGGCATTCAGAAATACAGATTATAATAAATTTCACCTAAAGAAAATTATCGAACAACTTATGGTGTTCGAACATATTTGTATAAAACAAAATAAAAATAAAATGTCAAATAAACCTGATTAACTGTTTGAGCCGTTCGAAAATCTATAAGGATATAGAATTTTTTCGCATAATAACTGAGCATCTATTGTACTCGGCAAAAACATTGTGGAAGTTTTTTACTCGACGTGCACACTGGCTAAAATTTGGTTAGAAATTTATTGTTCGAATGAAAACATTATTTTCGAATTATATCTGCATACAAGAATTTGCAAATAACTTGCGAAGAGTCCAGCCAGTGTTAACCCTTTTCGGACCACCGTGTGGTGCACCACACGGCTAGCTTTGAATATTTTTTAATATTCGAAGGATATTTTATCATTTTTAGGTAATGATAAAGGGAGAGTAACCTTTCAAATAAATATTAAACTCTTCTCATTGACTTAAAGTTGTTTTATTTTACTATTTACAATGGAAATTACACCGTAAAATTCCAAGTCTGCAATTGCCTGGTACTTAATAGGTTAAAGTGTTCGATACAAACACAAATTCAAGATGTTCGAACGCTTATAATATATATAATATAATTATATATTATATTTTAAAATATTTAGTATATGTAAATATTAATAAATATATAAATATTAATATATTAATTTTAATATTATTATTAATTTAACATTATATATTAATTATATCTTAATATTGTTATATAATATAATTATAATTATTATTATATGTTATTATTACATTATTATTATATTATATGTTAATATTAATATAGAAATTATTATATTATTATTCCCGGCGTATTCAAAACAATTGCCTATAAATAAAAGGTACAAGGCGAGATGTTCTATAATGTTCGAGAATCATATAATGATAAAGCACCTATTGTTATATATATTTGTAACATAAAATAAGACAAAAATTAAACATAATAGATTAAAATATTAGAATTGGAGGTTATCCGAACTATTTGAACAAATGTGTGGGTGAAAAAGTGTAGACACAGGGTAATTCTAATAGATATCTATTAATTTATTGAATGATTTTAAGAGAAAATTGTTTATAATATTATTATTTATATTTTTTTATATCTATATTTAAAAACAATTAAATAAATTAGTGAAATAATAATGAAATAATTAGTGAAATAACAGAATAATCAATTCTTTAAAATAAAATTTATAAATTCTTAGTTCTCTTAGTGATGAATGTTTAAAAAATATAAAATCCTAGAAACTTTTAATTTTAAAAATATCAATTGAGATTATAATTTTTCTACAAAACAACCATTTAGATTAATGAAAGCAATTTTTTATTTTAGTTATTTTATATATATATATATATTATTATAACTATTTTCTATAACTATTATTGTTCGTGATAATAATAAACAACTAATTTTTTTTTTTCAATTTAAAACAAATTTATTGTAATATATTTAAAATAATTTATTTAATAATTTAATTTTTATTGTTTATTTTGTAGCACAGCAAACGTAGTACTGAAACCAGTGAACATTCAAAGACGCCAACCATAACTGGTAGCAACAATACCCTAGTAATAAGCTTGGAGGAACAATCATTGGCAAAACGTGAACGAAGTGAATTTAAATTAAGAAATACGTTTGGATGGACTCGAATTGATATATTGACAATGTTGATTGTTTGCATTATTCTAGCATCATTGTCATTTTCACTTTTGGTAGAAGCGCTGCAAACATTAGTTCATATAGATCATCAAGACACTATGCATTTGCCTATACCAGTAATGATATTGGGATTTATGGGCTTGGTGTTAAATGGCTTAACATATCTACTTATCGGCGGATACACAATGCATCAAGGTAGTTTTCTGCATGTAACACCTAGCGGCGATGTAGTGCTTGATCGCGCTATGTCTAACAGTACGGAACTTACCCTTAAGCCAGATGAAAGACAGTTATCAAAATCAAAGAACGATCAACAGTTAAAGGAAGATTTACAAGCAGAAATAGGTCAAGTTCACTACACAGCAAAACGTCAGGGAACTACTGAAATGCTTAGAGATGTATCCAGTACAATTTTTGTCATTGTTTGTGCACTGATCGTTTATATCGTGCAGAATGACGAACATACAACAAAATTCATCGATCCAGTTTTATCAATACTTTCCTGTGTGATATTGGTGTCGCTCAGCTATCCATATAGTAAGTATATATATATTTATTAGTAACCATTAAGTGATAACTTAATTCTACTCTTAACTTAATTTCATCTTTTCTATAGTGAAAGAATCTTGCCTTATTCTACTACAAACTATACCTGGTTCTATAGATATGGAAAATTTCGAGAGTAATCTAATTTCAAAATTTCCACAAATTATAAACTACCACGATTTGCATATTTGGCAATTGTCTGCGCATAAATCCGTTGCAACGGTGCACATTAAATTTAAAAATCATGGTTTTTATGCAAAAATGATAGATGACGTACGCGCATACTTCCATGCACAAGGCATTACAGAAGTAACAATTCAACCCGAATTTCATTGTGCCAAATCCCTGCCATCGCTAGAATGTTTAGTACAATGCAGTGCACCAGAGTGCGCCGAAAAGGTTTGTTGCAGAGACTCCCGCAGTGACTTACGAGATGTTACTGTCTGTCCAAATGGAAGCAGTGAGAAAGTTTCGAATAATGGCTTAGCACACAACGTTGAAAAACAACGGAGCAATTCGAAATGCAATGAGAAACCTAAAGAGTTAAAAATTTCCAATCTGTTAAAATTTAACAGGAAAATACAACGCACCCAGTCTACAAATGACATTAATAAAGTAGTTGAGACAAAAACTACCGATATAAAAAAAACCATAAGTGAGAGTCAGATTTTGCAGGAAGTGGATATCCCGAATCCAACAGTACATGAATCTGCAGAAGTAAGCAACCTACAAATTGCAGTAGATGAATGCACTCCAAAGTAAATCAAAGAAACATAAGATAAGATAGCATAATTTTAGGCATTTAATTAAGAAGTTACGAAAAGTATTCATAGAGCGATTTTAACACAAATTTTTGTAACAATTTTTGTTATATACAATTGTTTATTTTAAATATATATACATATATTTTATAAAATGTATGAATTATGTGTCATCTTAGTGTAAGAGAGTACAAATATATATTTTTTGAATTAAATTTGTTTTAAAAATTTTTTAAAACAATTCTTTTTATCATCTGAACTTTTGTACAAAATCTGTTTAGGATTGTAAATAAACATTTTTATATATTTTTATAAATAACAATGTTTTCACATATATTATAAATACAAAACAAAAAAAATTGATTTAACTAATTATAATAATAATAACATATATGTCGATATATTTTGTATATAAGTAATACATAAAGTAATAAATTTTAAAAATATTTAATATATTAAAATACGGAACAAAATAAAAAAAAATGAGTTTATTTATTTCTTACATGGAATAGCATACATTTTTTAAAATGTTTCATTTTTAAAATTAATATTAGCATAACCATTCCTCATTGTCTCATTGAACTCTAAATCCTATGAGCTGAACAGGCATGATAATAATTTATAGAAATACATTATAAATCAGAGATATATAACAATAAGTCTTCCTTCAAATATCTCATCAGACATAAAATATCTGCAAATCCAAAGGATGATAGAGAGTTGCTCATATTGAAGAGCTACTCATGAGGCTCATACTCATGAGAGCTCACGAGCTCAACTGTTTAATAAAAAGCGATTTATTAGTTTATTTGTTTTATTTATTTTTATAAACGTTATATGTGAAAATATATAATTTCATATTAAAACAATATAACGAAACAATAATTTGAATTTGAAAAACAAATTTATAAAATATTATTATTCTCCACAAATAAACAATAAAAATATATTTATTGTTTATTTCAGGAACTTTGATTATTTCCATATTTTAGTTAGTTTAAGGTTATTAATATTTTAAATCTTTTTTAATGACATGTTTTCACAAAAAAAAATAATAGCAAAATCTTAAATTGGGCGCAAGAGATATTAAGAGCCGCAGCTCAAACTCTTGCTCACGAGCGTGAGCCCATTTATAAATTAATGGCGGCTCTTGCTCGTGAGCGTGAGCTCTGTAGTTGGGCTCGCTCGTGAGCGTGAGCCATCGTATGAAAAGAGTTTTTTGTCGCCTCATGAGCAGTGAGCAATATGAGCCGATATGAGCCGCTCATGGCTACGCAAATACGAACTCTAATAGAAAGTAATGTGAGTATGTTGTAACCACAATTATAGGTCAAGTACACGTAAACTATACTGAATACCGCTAGTAAAGACTTTTGTAGAAGCTATCTTGATAGGAGAAACAAAAAAATGGCATGAGTTTAATTAAATGTAGTGTGAATCTGTTCACAACCGTAATTACATGTCTTTGTTTGATAAATGTACAAGCAAAGAGTATATATACATAGAGTGTGCATCACTCAAAAAATCTTAAAAATGAAGTGAGGGCAATTTCACAAAAATCGGTCGCAGAAATCGGGGAAATAGTATTTGAGTTATTTTTGTGTCATATGGACTCGTTGTGACTCAATTTTTAATTTTTCAGTTTTAACATGCGGGAGAGTTTGGAGTGTTTAAGCATTTTATACTTAATGAGTTTTAAAGCAATTTGTATTGCTTTTCTGCGCTCTGAACTACAGTTGTTGGTATTTTTATGTAGAAAGGTGCATTTAACAATTGAGAAATCAAGAACAGCAACTAATGAAAATATCAAAGCAAGAAATGTCTGCAAAAATACAAAAAAACTTATTTTTTGTTCACAATCCATTTTTTTTCTTCATTATAGAATTTTCTGTAAAACCGAAATTTTTATTTTCAAGTTTAACTGAAACACATTTGTATAGAAGTAAACAGCACAGTATATTTTGTAAATTATTGTATGTTATTCGCAATTGTATGAAATTTTGGCGAAATTGAGATTTCGTACAATTTTGGCGAAATTTGAACCCATTTAATTTTTTATCTACTAATTGAAAAATTATCATTTTTTATATTTTTTACAGGTTAGGATATTATTACCAATTTTAAATAAAAACATGTTTAAATTTTATTAACAGTAAAATTAAAAGTGAAAATTTGCAAAAATCCCCCGTGTTTTTACGACTTTTTTCACTACAATCTGCGACACCCAAAAAATGTATACAAGTTTTCCATAAAATTTTTTCACTAATGCTAATGCCTAATGCTTAAGGATCACAAAAATTTGCTGTTCCCAGTCTATGTTTTGTATATATTTCAGATCTCAGAAATTACTGCATAATTATGCAAAGTATGAGCTTCAGTAAACTTCATAAAGTTTAACAAAAAATTCAATAAGTAATAATATAAGGACAGTTATTATATTATAAATATTGCTTACGATGGCGACTATGATAATATAAGTGCAAACTACCTGTTCTTGTTGCGCTATGGACCACCCCGCTAATCCTTCTTTTATTGCGGTTTTGTTTTTAATTTTAATGGTTTATGGTTTTTTTATTATTAAGTTATTTTATTGCTTATTATTATTATTATTGTAAAGATTTTTAAAAAACAACATATCTAGGTAAAAAATTGCACCATATATAAATGGTGACATAATTTATAAATTCACTTATTAATATCATATACATACGCTAAGAAAGTCAAAAAACGTCGACAATAGCAATTTAAATATTAAAAGTGGATTAATTTAATAAACTTGTGAAGCCTCATTCAAATTTATAAATTGTAAGTTATTGGGCCTATTTACACTATCATGAACATGAACATGAACTTGGAAGAGAGTGTGATGTGAATTACCATATATTAAACAGGTGTTTTTATCAGATACATCAAAGAAAGTGTTTTGCAATCCTAAACTGAAATTTATTTTTTAATGAAAAGCGTTTAAATCAAGATGGTTTTGAAAATATTTTCACAATTATTCGTCAAAAAGGTGGCAATAACTCAAACCCCACAGCAAGTGAATTAAATAATATTTTAGCGAAAGTTATGACTTGTAAAATTATTCAGTTAAGTTATGTAGCCAATTGTGAAATAAGTGAGGATAATGATAACAAGTGCCTTGAAGATGTGCTTTCTTCTTCTTTGATAGAACTCGATGAAAATAACTCTAGGGTGTCTAGTAACTGTGCAGTAGAAGCCTACTCTGATCTAGAGTGCAATGACATCGAAAATTGCATTATATCAGATGCATTTTCCAATTCAAAGAACATAAATATTGATTTATTGTCTTTCAGATACACAATAGGGTACGTAGCTAAAAAAATACTTTCAAAACTAAATTGTGAAGCTTGCAATATAAACTTAAAAAAAAAAGATGAAATTTTGACTGCTTCAAGTGAGCTTTTCATCTACTATAAAAATTATAATTCTCTTTCAAATTTCGGTAACCTGTTTGCGCCATCAGAAAGTTTTTTCAATGTTTCTTGTAAACATGTCGAGGTTTTTAAAAATGTATTCAAGAATAAACCAGATGCAATTGGCATTAAAAGTTTAATAATAGAAATGTGCAAGAAAAAAACCCCTCAGTGGTTTAAGGGGCCCTGTAATGAACATTTAATCCAGCTTCTTGATTTTTTAATTCTGCTTTTACTTCGTAAGCATTGCTTGTGGGCCTTAGAGAAGTCTAAAATCAACACACATTTCTAAAATGAATATGAAATATGTTAGCTCTACAATTCAAGTTAGCACTTAATATAAGATCAATTAATACAACTCTTATTAACAATAATGTAAAAGAACTTAGCCAGAATTTAGTCATAAAAATATATAGTGAATTTATATTTTTTTTAAATGTTAAGAATAAGAATATTATTAAAATAATTTGTATTATTAAATAACCAAACATTGTAAAATAGATAATTATATTTTTAGAATTAATTAAGTTAAGCAAGTGTCAAATTAGCGAATATTATATAAATACATATTTTACATTCTTAGAATTAAATTAAATTGTAATATTGCAAATATTAGTAAAATAATAAAGAACAAAACATATATACAAAATAGTTTAATAAACGAAATATGAACATCAGTTGAATTCAGACTGTTTTAGAATCATAAGATATATTTTATAATTATAAAAAATAAATTACTAAGACAAGTATTTATCTTTTAGTTAATAAAGCAATAACAAAAAATTTTTCAAAAAATAATAAAGATTTATGTCTTAATAACTAAAAAATAAAAATATAATAATAGAAAAGAACAACAATGAACATACAAGCAATTTCGCTTTAGGAGTTGTAAAGTTAGCAACTTTCAAATAAGCTTCGGCTTCTGCTTCACCATAATCACTTTGAAATATTTTCATATACAGTCAAATCCCGATAATTAGAAATCACAAGGGAACAGCATATTTTTACGAATTAGAGGGGTAATATTATAGAGGTTTCGATTTAATGAGGTTAAAAAAAATACAAATTAATAGGGTTTTTATATTTCAGTTGAATTTTATATATTTCACATATTTAACTTTATTAGAACAAAATAATCCAATTTATATATGCATCTATGTATCAAATTACGTACTATTAATTAAATAAGAAAATAAATACATAAAATTTATATAGAGAAGGATCAAGTTTTAATTTAAAAAAATTTTGTAATTGTTGATTGCGTCAGATTCTTTCCGCCTATCTTTTCCAATGGATTTTCCAAACTTAATAAACAATCAAAAATATTTTTTAGGACATCATGATTTCAAACATAATGTCGTATTTGTTGAATGGCCAATTTGGCTTGTTTATTCGTTATAAGTTGTTTCTCACCTCAATTTTCGTTTAAATCTTTATTAAAACCGCAAGCCCGGAAACAGTTTTGAATGTAAGATCTGCTGACACTATACCACACTTTATAAGCAATTTGCATTGCCGTAAATAGGGTACATTTGAACTCTTTTTTTTTCATCAATGCTATTAGCCAGATTAATAATCATTTTCTTGCAGTAAAAAAATTTAGAATTTACTATAACACCCTGGTCAAGGAGCTGTAGCTTGGAAGTGGTATTTACTAGCAAAAAATTTATTTTTACATGACTGAGATTAGGGGACCCATTATGCGCTGTACAATTGGCCATAAATAACAGCACCAAAAGTCAATAATTAAATAGATTGGAAAGCCGCGAATGTTCTTGAAGCACCTTAAATTTGCAGACAGGTTTTTTTGAACTGCATTACATGTGATAAGAGGTTTAATGTTCCATGAATTTCAAATAAAATACGAATTAACGAGAGGACCAAAATGTATGGAAATTTTACGAATTAACGAGGTTTTTTTAAGGGACCAGCAGTTTGCTACAAATTATCGGGGTACGAATTATCGCGATTCGACTGTATTTAATTATGTACAGTTTTATTATCACTATGATAGAAATTTTGTCGAGAGCATAATACATATATACTTAACACATATCGATAAGCTTGTCGGATATATATCAAGCTGGCTGGTACAATATAAAAGTTAGTTTTGCACTAATAAATATATTAAAAATTACATTTCTTGCGCTTCTTGTATTCTCACTATGTTGATATTTTTAACCGTAAATGTTAAAAACATGGGCGGTAGATCAAATTTTAAAATTAAGAAAAATATTTGCTTGCTATATAGCGATTTTTCGAATCGCATCAATTTCTAAAGTGACTTAGTTCAGTGGTTCGATACTTTGAAGAATTGATTTGATTCCAAAACTGATTTGTTTAGCTTTTGTCTTTGATTCAGAGTTCGCAAGGCCAATAATTCAATTCAGGTTGGTTAAATTGCTTTAGAAACCGGCAAAGGTGTCAGTTTGAAACCTCTGTGGCTTAGAACTGATTCACAAATGCCATAATATATATAATAATTTAGATGTTTGTTATAACTTACAATTTATTAGCAACAATACTTTCAAGTCCGTATTTCTAATCCTGAGATATACTCATGGTATTCATGAACGAGTAACAGTAACATGACTTTTCCCGTATTACGTTCCTAGAACAGGTGCTATACACAAGCAAGTATAATATAAAATCATACAATAAATAATACAAACGAATAATATTAAAATTAAAAAATAAAAATATATTTAATTAATTCTACTATTCTACAGTTGATTTATGATTTCTTTCTAATATAATACAGCAAGTGAATTTGTTAATGAACTTTCACAGCAAATTAACAAAACTCCAAGTACGGCTTTGGGTCAGTTGGCTAATGAAGCTCTTGATACTGCAGCCTCAAAAAAATTATTTACGAATTATTAAATTAAAAAAAATAATTAAATATAAGAAATAATACCAAGACTACTGATGATGGGTATTTGACAACACTCGAAGCATCTGTATTGTCAGCCAAAAATTCAATTAATTAAAAATAATACTAATTTTGTTGTTGCAATTCAATACTGTTCGAAACGTCTCTAAATTTTCTAACTAAATTATTGAATAGAAGTTATTTCGTGTTTTTGTAGAATAGGGTTTTGTTTTAATTATAATTGAAAACAATAATCAAAACTTCCTCTAGCTGATCAATGGTGTAGATGTAAACGAGGTCTCTTCCAAACAGAAATTATAAAATCAAAATAAATATTCTTGAAATGAAAATTACTTCATGAATAAAAAACTAAAATAGGAATATTTTCATTTTAAATAATGATTTATTTTATTGCATTCATTTTACTGCATTTTAGTTGTTTTTTTTTACAAAATATTTAAAAAATTTTTTAGGTCAACAAAATTTGTTTAGAATGTGCATGAAATAAAAAAAGTAATTTGCTTAATTTTAATACAGAAACAAATCAGTAACTCATATAATTGATAACAAATTACTAATTATCAGATACCCTACGTCATTAAAAATAATTACAAGCATAAATATACATTGTTACAGTTATGATAAAAAAATTAGACGATAATTCACATGTATTGAAAAAGCAGTTATTGATAGGCAAATAGCAGCTGAAATAAATTACTTTATAAGTACACACGCTATCAGAACATATAATATAGGTTTCTAGTTTCAGAGCTTTAATAATAAATTAATTTAAGAATTTAATATCCTACACTATAACAAAATTTACAACTATTTTTCACTATCTAATATACCCAACAGATATTCTATTGTAAACACACGTATTATTTTAGCTATATTTTCTGTGGTTGCATAATCAATAACTGTTTCATTATCATCCTTTGTATGCCATACTGATGGGAAAGGAGTAGGTATCACATGTAACACTGGTACGTCACGTCTTAAGAACGGTATGTGGTCGTCCTCAATGAATGATGATCGCAATGCATTTGGTTGAAAATATCTATTTGGATTGTGTCTTATAACGCCACTGGTACTATATCGTTCTAAAAGATTCGATTCAGCAAGACGTTCTTCAATTAATAATAGTCTCGAATACCAGCTCTCAGTATTTTGAAAGAAACTGTAAAATTTCGGATCAGGTGCACCGATTAAATCTAACAGCACTAACATATCGATGCGATCTAGAAAGCCTTCTGCCTCCCATTTCTTAGCTAAATGACGTGCTCCGTATATTGAATCATGTGGACCCCATTCTTTAAAAGCTTCTTCACCATCGAAAAATAACAACATTAAACTTAACTTCGGATTATTCCGGAATGGCTCAAGTTCTTTTCGTAGTACGTGTGCTAAGTTGAGCAACATTGCACACGGTACCGCAGAATCAGTTGCACCAAGAAATTCAACATCTGGCATGTATTTGCTATCATAATGACAAGCTAATATCAAAAAGCGCTCCGCTTGTGGATTTAAAGATGCAATAATATTGTGAAAATGAAGTTTTCCGAATATGGGAACTTGGTCGTGAAATTTATGTAACTTCACCGACCAATTCAAGTCTTCCAAACTCTTTTTAATGTAATTTCTCACCTTTTCATGACCGTCAGTGCCAACAACACGTGGAATCAGTATCTCGCGCACTGAATCACGAAGGTGATTTACATCGGTAAGTGGACTAAGTTCAAGAAATTTATCCGGCGTCAATTCTTTGGTGTTATAACTTACCTAAAATAAAATATACAATTAAAAAAATTTACACTATAGTTAATGTTATAAAATATTATAAAAATATGGCTAAATAACACTCGTTACTAATTAAGTCACCTGTTTACGGCCAACAAGGAAATCATCCCCCAATCGAGCTACAGTAGAAGCTATCAATGTAATTGTCAATAGCAAGTGGCGCATTTTTTAACTTTTTTGAAATAAAATCGACACGAAGGCACTTTATCACTAAATTTTACTATCTAAGTTTGGAATAAATTTGAATTCTACAAGTGTTTTGTGTTTATTTTGTTACGTTCACTTTATTAATACAGAAAACATATGTTTTTTATGCTCTCTTCAAAACAACGTAAAACAGGGTGACTCTTCTCATCGATGAAGACATGCAATTTGTTAACACAATATGTTGAGTGATATATTTTATTATAAGTAAACGAAATGAAGAGAAAGTTAGAAACGGAATGTTATTGTTTTTGAAGATTCATTTGTTTTGCTTAAAGATTCTTCAAATAAAAAAATTGCTATGAATCAGAGTCCTTAAACCTTAATATTCAGAATATATGTATTTTATTGTAAACTTTTTCTATCTAAGCATTAATGTCTGCATTTTCAATTATTTCGAAAACAATTAAAATGTTTCTGTTGTAATAAACAAGAAAACTTGAAATAATTCAGAAAAAAAAACATAATTAAGAATGCATGAAACGTATGAAATATTCCAAAATCAAAATTATAAAAAGGAGATGAAAGAAAAATTGAATTTGTTTTCAATTCAATTCAATCAATTCATAAATCCACTAAATAAATAAAAATACTCTACATAAGAATGAAATAAATCAATTATTTTAATGGGTATAATCATTAAAGTTGCTTCTTTTACTATATCATATCATCATTTATAGAACTTCATGCTGCTAAAAACATTTTTTCGCAAATTATTTACTTACCAAATTATACACATCGAATTGTTGACCTAAATTATAAATTCTTTGTCGGGGCCATAATGGAGATTCAATAAAAGACTTCTTCAATTTTTCTACAACACTTGTATAACTTCTAAAGTAATTTTTATTAATTGTATTTAGCAAATATCTCATTTTCACAAATCATATATCCAACAAACTGGCAGTTTATCTTATAGCCATTATTACGCAAACATGTAAAATACTTATGATTTTTGCATCACCCAACATATATGTAAACACTCTTTTAATTCTTTTTTTGTTTTTGTTTTCTTAAATTAGAAATGCATACAAAGTACATAATACTCTCGATAAATGTGAAACATATGTTCTTAAAAATTAAGATGTCATTTAAATTGAAAAATTCTATTTACAAAACTAATCACGCTTTGTCTGCTTATCTGCATCCCCCCCAAAGTAAGCACGGTAAACATAAAGTCCTAATGCTAAGTGCAGCGAAACCACCGCTCCAACAGCAGCAAAAATATTTGTTCTTATTTCTGTCATTGTAAACAATTGATCCAAAACAACACCCTTCAGCAGAAAAAACGTCACCACAGGTAGAAATACAATTAATGAACAATAAAATAGAACAGTTTTAAAAGAGCTGTAATCTACGGAGTCCTGCAAATAATATTAATTAGTAATAAAACATCTTTGACTGAAAAAAGGTATACAAACATTGGTTTTTTGCTTGCTTCCTCCTACATTATTTCCTTTTTTGTTTGCCATTTTTAATATTTTCATTCACTCAAAATTCATTACAAGGAATCTTTCTTTAATTTGTTTTACTGCCTTTTCGTCAATATATCGGCATGTCAAAATGTCATGTGATATATTTTTTCAGCGAAATTCGCTTAAATTTTAGGAGTTGCCATACACCTAAAAAGACCATTGACGTGTACATATTTGCAACTCAAACGATATACGAGAAAAACGTAATCGTTTACGTTTACATTGTCGAATATATACAATAATATATTTTTATGTATATATGTATGTATAATAAATTTATTGAATTATAAACTATATTTATTTATAAATTTTGATTCTTTTGACAAAAAACGCAGTTGCTAAAATGTTTAGTCACTTCACAACTAGTGAAACCTCTATCTTAATAGTGCGTACAAATGATCAACTTTAAGCGAGCAACATGACACTGTTTTGTTCTTTTTTACGAAATTTAAAACCTGCCGAAAACACATATTATAATAATGAAAACGACATAACAATACGAAATACCAAGCTAAACACTTTGTTACAAATTTTTCCGTTAGTTTTTCTTGCCCTAATTTGAACAAAATCATTGAAAGCTGCTTGTTTTGCTTAATCCGCGAGTTAGAGTAAATTGAGGTAATGTAAATTGAAATTTCTTGGGGATTTTTTGCACTGCACTTATGCAAATATTTATTTATTTATTTATTGCACTTTTATATTATTTTAAATAAGTAAGTTAAAAGTTTTCAAATCTTTGTTATATATTTATTAAACATCTTATAAAATTTTCACAATGGTAATACCTAATTTATCTAATTTATATTATCTAATTTACCTTACTCGAAATTCTGGTAAATATCAACATTTGCTGCCATACCGACATAATTTACTATTTCCCTTAATTTACCATCAATTTACTCGAACTCGCACACGATCTATATATGTTTTCCTGTGTTGTTTGCTTTTCAATATTGAAACACGTTCCTACTACAGCTAAATCAATTAATCAAATTAAAATTTGGTCGTTCCATTGGGATAAGTAGACTTACGCATATGAAAGAGCTTGCATGTGTCAGTAACTTCTGTAAAAGTTTTAGGAGAGCTTTTGTTTATTTACATTTGTGAATAAATATTATTTAATTTTGTATTATTAGCAGAAATTAATTAATTGATCATGAAAAACGCAGGATATACAAAAATTTTGTTTTTAGCTTTTATTTAAAAAAAACAAACACTTTAACAAATTCTTACCTTTTCTTTGTTCGATTTGTTTATTTTTTTTTATTTACATGTCAAATTTCGATTATTTCCCTTTTGGGAAATATATTTTGCAATGTTGCATTCGATATTTGAGTATAATTTTCCTTAATGTATTCTTAACTAAGGACGTGTGCGAGTTAGGCTAAGTTGATGCTAAACCTAATGGAAGATTTTTTGGGATTTTTTGCATTGCACACATTTAGCCATTTATCAACACGTATCGAATATTCACTACATTATCGGCACAACTTAGAATTTCCCCCATTTAGAACGCAACTTAACCTAACTCGCACACGTCCTTAGCCTAACTCGCACACGTCCATTTTCTTTTTTCATAATAAACAAATCATAATAAACGGCAAACAGAACTTTATAAACTGCGTGACAACCTTTTTATTTTTCTTGACTTAAACTTTCTTACTTACGTTTCTTACTTATTATGAAGGTACACAGTCATTTTTTTGGTAAGTTTAATTTAAATTGCTCTAATTATTTTTTTAATTGCAACAGAAGAGTAACTTCTAATATTATTAATAACATGCAATCAAAATTATTATAATTTAGGACAATATTAAAAATATATTCAATTAAGTATTTTACTCTAATATTCACAGAATTGGTTTTATTATTTAAGTTAATTAAAATGCATTTTTAATTAATATTTTTTTTCATTAATTTTCATGATTAATATGTCTACTTTCTCTAAACTGTATAATTTTTAAAAATCAGATTTTTAAAATTTCAATTTTTTTCTTCTCGAGTTCTGCATAAAATGTTTTTACTGCTTCTCCTTTAAGTTATTCATTTCTAGCAAAAATCTTTATAAGTTTCAGAATATTTTAAACATCCACCACAAAAGTTGAAAATTTTCTTGCTCTAGACTACAAAAATATCACCAATGTTTGTCAAATGATGTGTTGAAAAATTATGTAGTCTATTTCATTAAGAAAGACCACTGAACAAATACAAATTCATAATAAAAAAAGAACTAAAAACGTTTTTATAATGCATTTTATTCCTGTTAGTAAGACTAAATTTTTTTTTACTAAAGTTTAATATATTAGTGGTCTTATTATTGGCTAGTTCATTTAAAATATTTTGCGACTGAATAGAGACTTGTAAACATTAACAACAAATACTTACGTGTCCCTACAAGCTGCTGTTTGTAAAAATTTAGGCCCATAAAAATCACTACCAGTCAACATATTTTTCAATATTTTGCAATTCTCTTCAGACAATCATTTAACTTTTTAAGAGATTTCTACTTCAACAATTATAGCTGACAGGTTAAAATTATTTTGAATATTTTTTCAATATTTTTTCGTTATTGATATTGCAATGAACCTATAGGAAGGAGTAGCAATTTTTTTTGAGTTTGCGATTATTACCAAAAAATCAACTTCACTTTAAATTGTGTATACTGCAAAATAATACAGTAAGAAATTTTTGCATATATTGTTAGCACATATGTACATATATATAAATCTTTGGATGTTAATAAAACGATGTCAAACAAAAAATATCTTATGTGCAAAAATAATCCAAATTTTTTTATCAAAATATTGAAACATTGTATAAACCTGCAACGCACTGATACGCATACGTTTGCTTTAACCAGTTTATGGTCTTTTGTATTCAAGTCCAATAAGCGAACATGCATCCTAACTTATGTATAATACACAAAAGGAAATTGATATCAATATACTTGTTTTTAATTGTATATTTGCACACATAAGTATATAGTGTGTACAATACATACTAGTGTAAACTTAAACAAGGAATTTTTAAAGAAACGCTTCAGTGCAAGTCTGTTAGGAAAGCTGAACGTTTGATAGTAGAAGAAGTTTAATAATAAATTATTACGATAAATAAATTAATTTTAAATTTGGTTAATATAAAGGTATGTATATAAAAAAATGTTGATTTCATTAGATTTTAACATATTAATATTAGATCTAATAAAATAATTAACCTAAATAATTAATTTAATTCAACAAAAATCGTTTTTTAATTGCTTAAACAAATTAATTTATTATACATTTATTTTTTATTTATGTATTAAATACTAAGGCCGTAAATTATGTTGGTATGGCAGATAATGTTGGTATTTACCAGAATTACGCGTAGGATAAATTAGGTAAATTAGGTGTTACCACTGTGAAAATTTTATAAGATGTTTAGTAAATAAAAAAAAAATTTGAAAACTTTTAACCAAAAATAATAAATAAGTGCAATAAATAAATAAATATTTACATTAGTGCAGTACAAAAAATCGCTAGGAAATTTCAATTTAATTTACCTCAATTTACTCGAACTCGCACACGGCCTAATTAAAAGATGTATGCCTTTATCTTCACATGTATACACGATTTTCGAAATAATTAGTTTTTCTTTTTTTTTTCTAATGCAACATTGCATATCTGAAGCGAATATTCCAATAAAATAATATGGACGACACAAAGTTTTCTCGAACTACTTGTTTGAAGATAAATCAACTGAACGGGAGTGGTTGTGAGAAGCAGCTACCATATTTCCAAGAGATTTATAAATCAATTTGTGAAGAAAGCGTGCAGTCGCAGTATTGCAAAAGTACGACATTAGAAAAGAGTAAGTACTGTTTTATTAATTTATTTTTTTTAAAAAGTAATTAAAGTATTAATGTCTTTAGTCTTAATGAAATTCTGGTTTATAAAATTTTTGTAGAGTAATTTTAGTGTGCTTGTATACATAATATTGGTTTTCTTTATTTTTTATAAATATCATAAATAATAAGTGTGTAGTAGAATTCTATTAAATAACAAAAGAGTATTTCTGCTACGATATAATAAGTAAAATCTGCTGACTAGATATTATAAATGAATTATTACAGAAAAGTAATAAAAATTTTTGAAAGGGTGGAAATGCAATTAAAATCATTTTTTCTGATGCAATCATTTAAAATATGACGTTCAGTGATGTGGGCTTTTTTATAGTTTTTCTTAAACCACATTTTCATCAAAATGTGGTTTAAGAAGCTTAACGAAACTTAGTGTGATTTACTCTACTAAAATAGTTTTTATTTTATTTATAATGCAAAAGTTTTTTCTTCTCATAATTTTTGTAATTTAGATAATTTTACACTACTATTGCGTTTTGAAACAATTTAGAATTATAATTTATTAAATTATCTTAATAAAATTTATTTCAATATATTAGTGCTTAGCAAGCATCATTGGTAGAATCTGAAAAAATCAATCTAAGCTCTCAAAGTTAAATGGAAGGTCAAAGGTCGCGAAGCATATTTTAGGCGAAAATAATTCTTCATAAGCATTGAACAAAAAATTGTAAGAAAGTATTCAATCAATAACATCTTAAATTCATAAAATAGAATTAATTCAGTAAAAGCAAGATGTATATAACTAATTGTCTAATTAGACATCATTTAAGGGTATTAATTTTTTTCTCTTTAAAAAAATTAGATGTTTGTAGAAAAAATTGTTTATAAATAAAATTATTTCAATAAATTAATTCCATGAATAATATTATTAATATGTCTTTAATAAATCTTTATTATTATTATCGTGTGAATTTCACACATACCAATGTTTTGATTTCCGACTAAAAACTGCTCTTACCGTCGACTTTAAATTAATATAAATTACTATAAATTACTATCTTTTGTTCACGACCAGCGATAATCTTTAAACTTGCCCATAATCGCATTAAAATAAAAAACCTTCAATTTATTTATTTATATTTTTGTTTGTATAGGTAACGGCAAATCTGATATTTCCATTCAACAGACAATTAATTCTGAAGATAAAGTTGACAATAAAATGGTACAAGAAGATAATAATGTTAATGATGGTGCCGACGAGCAGATGCTTGGTGCAGATGATAACGAAAAGTTAGCTGAGAAACGTGATGAAGTAAAATTCATCAAAGGAGACCACCAAAATGGAGATGCCAAAATTGATATTGGCTCAGTTAATGGAAAGGTATGCTATTTTAAAATACTAGGCCTCTGTAAAATATTAAGTATTGTTTTTATTATTATTATATATTTTGATAAATAATACAATAAAGGAAACCGCACAAGTAAGATGTTCACATTTCACAAATTATCTTAATAGTCATATTTATTTCTAAAAATAATTTTTTTTTATTTTTCTTTAAATAGACTTTTACTGGCATGACCAAAGAAGAATTAATGAAGTATGCCAATGATCCATTTTGGGTTCGACTACGCTGGATTTTCTTTATAGGATTTTGGGCGATTTGGGCTGGCATGTTGGTTGGAGCTATTTTTATTATTATAGACGCACCTAAATGTGCAGCTCCTCAACCATTACCATGGTATAAGAAAGGACTTCTTGCTAAATTTAATTCCCTTGATGTTGGTTCAAATGATGAAGCTGTAAGTTTAAAGTTACAAGCAACTGGAGCCATATATGAGTTACCAGCTGCTTTAACATATTCTGTAAAAGATCCTGAAGTTGAACAAAAAATTAAGAACATTGTGTCAACATATAAAGACAATATAAATGTAATTTTGGATATAACTCCTAATTATGTAACAAAGGACTCTGTCTTATTAAAAGATGCTTTGGCTGATGAAACCAAACGTTCTGCATTTATTTGGATTGAAAAAGCAGAAGTACCTAACAATTGGCTTTCAATTGTAAATGGCAGCGCATGGGCTGAAGTGCAGTCAGGCAATTATGTTCTATCCCAATTTGGTGATGGACTTTATGATTTACATATGAATGATACAGTAGTAAAAACTGAGTTAAGTGAGACTCTAAAGCATTTATTAAAACTTGGAGTAAAAGGATTCCGTTTTAAAAATACCAAGTATTTTATGCTTACCAAAAATATTCGGGATGAAGTTCCTTTAAGAGATTCAACTTTAATACATAATCAATATGGTTTTTGGTCTCATACACAAACAACATTCCAAGAAGGCCTTGGCGATGTTTTATACGAATATTTGGCCGTAGTTAAAAATGTTTCCGCTGATGCATTCCTTTCCGTAGCTGATGATATTATACGTCCTGAAAACTATAAAACTAAATCTGGTGATTTAGGCATTGATATACCTATTTATGGACGTTTTACACATGCACTTAGTGGTAGTAACGGCAAGAAACTTCACAGTGAATTGGTTAAAACTTTAGAGCCATTTATGTCAAACACTTGGTTACAATGGAACTATGGTGATATTACAATGGATGACAACATTAATCCTTCCGCCATTGGACTGTTTGTGTCTTTGTTACCTGGTGTACCAGTAGTGCCAGCAGACTCTGGTGTTTTTGACAATATGGCTCATAGCACATATAAACAGATTGAGCTTTTGCGTTCTTCTCCATCGTACATGCACGGTGAATTCAAGATATATGATTCTTCTGACCTAGTTGCATATTCCAGGTAATTTTTTTGTTGCAGTAAATTTTAAAATATTTTGTGTAACATTTCCAAATTTTGCTTTTAATGCTTCACTATAACATTAGGCAAAGGTGAGATATAATATAATTCCAGTCGAATTTCAAAAATAAAAAATTTATTGGAATAGATTATTGCGAGATTTTACTTATTTTATTGTATTATCTATGTTGTTAAACGCTTAATCTAAATATAAAACTATTAGTTGGTTTTTCGGGGACATTTATATAGAAAATGACTATAAAAAACAAAAATAAAAAACCAACCAACAGTTTTTTTTGGTTCACAAAAGTTTTTAACAAGAAAAAAATACATTTAAAAATTTATTGTAATAACATTAACTTACACTTTTTTGTAATTTTAGAATAAAGTCTGGAAACCCAGGTTATTTTGTGGTATACAATCCTACTGAATTTACCCACACTGGTAATTTCAGCAACTTGGAACTACCAACGAAAATGACGGTAGTTGCTGTCAGTGACAACTATAATGCCACTGATGTACACGCAAAGTAAGCTTAGAAATAAACTCATATGTGCAACATTCTAACTTAATTTTATTTCGTAGGGTATCTGTGGATTCTTTGGAAGTGTCTTCACGTTCTACAATCATACTTACATATGTTCCTGTTAAATCAGGTTAAAAAATATATATGAAGAATAATAGTTCCAAATGTATTATGCATATTGGAATAAATAAAATTCAAATTGATTAGCAACAAATTTTACTTGTCTTTTATTAGTACATGTACTTACTTATACTTAATGTTGTCTCTAAATGAAATTGTACGTGATCGCCCACCAGTGGTCACAGGAAGATACAAGGACATTAGATTTATCATCCCATTAATAATACCAGCAATTAATAAATGTCCCGTATTTAATTACCGATGTAGGGCATAACGATGCCCACAAACAGAATAGAGTAAAGGTGACATATCATCAACTCAACTATCAACACACAAACAGGATCTGACCATTCCTTTCTTATTTTTATAATATTCAAACTTAAATTATTCAATCATATTCAAAACTCTTCCGTTTTTAATTTTAGAAATATATTTATGAATTATTGTATTCTAAAGGTCTTTGCTGTTCCCCTCCATTATCATAAAAAACTATATTTAAAGTTTAAAATAATTCGATGTTATCAACTTGTGAATATGGTATTTCTTAGAAATAAATTGATATATACGTAAATCATGCAAAGGTAAACGGTTCAAATTCAAACATTTTAACTCATTAAATAAATTTCACTAGGTGATAAATGATTCTTAATGCCCTTTCAATATTTTAATTAACAGATAATAAGTTTCATTTTTGAAATAACAATTGAAGAGATAATATAGACGCATATTTCAATTACAAAATTATGATTTATAAAAATATAAACAAGCCAAGATGATGTTATTTTCTTTAGTTTGTTTCAAAATAAAAGTATTTTTAAAATAAATTTGTAATAACACGTTTACACTGTTTAAGATGCTAATTTCGATTTATTAAAATAAGTTAAATCACCATTTATTAATTTTTTTATAATTGATAAAAATGCTGAAGTGAAAAAATAAAAGTTTATACATAGATTAGTTTTTATTATTGTTTTTATTATTATGTAGTATTGTCCATTAACTATCACCGATGTTAAGGAATTATAATACTCCACCTAATACTAATATTATACTCGCCGTAAGGAAGAAGTTAAACAAACGTCGCAACTTTGGTGATAGAGTAGTGCATAGACTACTATATAATAGTGAAAACAAAAAGAAAAACTAATCTATAAGCTTTAATTTTTTCACTCCAGCTTTTTTACCAATTATAAAAAATTAAAAAATAAACCAACAGCTACTCCAAATTTATTGATTTCATTGCGATCGTGGGTTCCTTTACAGATTATACCAATTTGATGGGTATTACAGATTTTATGTTTATCTCGAAATTCACCACCTGTACACCAGCAAAGCGCAGGGATTAGTACATATACATGTATATAATAGAACATATACATATACATTTAAAAAAATTTAATATAAATTTACCCAGGAAAATGTCCGTGTCCGAGTAAATTGAGGGAAATAGTAAATTATGTCGGTATGGCACCGGATGTTGGTATTTATTAGAATTTCGAGTAGGGTAAATTAAATAAAAATGGTAAATTTCGTGTTACCATTGTAAAAATTTTATAAAATGTTTAATAAATAAATTTGAAAACTTTTAACCAAAAATAATAAATAAGTGCAATATATAAATAAATATATACATAAGTACAGTGCAAAAAATCCCTAGTAAATTTGAACTTAATTTACCTCAATTTACTTGAACTTGCATACGGCCTCTATGTAATTTATTTAATTACAACAAAATTCTTTTACGTACACTTTATATCAATATCAAACACTTGGTACTTGAGGTCTGAAAAATTATTTACAAATAATTAAAAACAATACATAATTTCAAGACCATTGATGAAGGGTATTTGGTAATACCAGAAACAGCTGTACGGTCATCCAAAAATTCAATAAACTAAAACAATATAAAAAGAATTATCTTTTTTTCGAAACCTCTCTGTAAAAATGTAACCCAAATATTAAATTGGCCCAAAGTATAACCAATCAGCAAAATTGATGACTTATTATTTTCATATTAATACATATTTTAAATAAAAAACTGGCATTCACTTCTTGTTATTTTCTCACTCTATTTTCGTTAACAACAAAAATGAATGCCTTGAATAATGCTATCATTTACGATCTAAGTGCGGTGTAATTTTTGATCGTAATACTGCAGACTGTACTACATGTTTTAGTGCACTCTCATAAGGTGTATTTGTTGAGTTGAAAAAAAATTAAGATAAGAGTGTTTCGAAAAACAAGAGAACGCATTTAAGCAATTTTCATTGAAAAAAATATATTTTTAATAATTGCAGTGTGATATAAATACTTTATATTTTATGTAAAATTTAAAATTTTAATTCAATTATATTGATAGTAAAATAAATAAAGTGATTGCAATAATTAAATAAATATGATTACAACAAAAGTTATACACAAATTTAGTATACTTAAGGAGAGAAGTTTCAGTTTTACACTGCTTTTGAACTAAATGTATTGTACTTCGCTTTGATTTCGCCACAGTCGCTGTCTGAACGTTGCTGTACGACGTTGGGGTAAAAGTTGTTTTCAAATAAAGAGACGACGCTTTCGGGGAAAAAAGATATTGAATATTGAGTATTTTTAAGACTCGCGTCACCGCCGCGTTAAGTTATTAAGAATTTAAATTTTGCGTTTTATTAAGTGCTGTATCGTTTTTGACTACGAACACAATAATTAATCATTGTACACATTTTATACTGTATTTGTACCGTACAAAAGAAAAGAAAAAAAAAAACAAGACAATACAACGTTAACGGCAAGTAAACAAGGATTTTGGTAATTTTCCATTAACAACGCGTCAATGTTGTAAACGTGTATTATAACATTGAAGTATAGAAGAGAATCATTTAATAATAATGCTTTTAACAAATATTGAAATTTGGGCTATTGGAGCATCAGAAAATGCTATGGCAGAGGATAGTACACTAAATCACGTGGATGTTTTTAATCCGCGTTTAGTGCCGACAACACCAAACAACAACAATATCTATTCAATTAATCATATGTCGTCAAATGGTTACTATGGTTTTTCGAATGTGAACACTACAACAGAAGATGCATCTAACAACAACAATATTACCCAAAACAATAACATTACGAAAGATGGAAATGGCATAACTGACAACATTAAAAGTGTGCGTTGCAAAAAGCGCTTCTGCGGCAGAGACGGTGACATCGACAGCGACAGCGTTGATTTCAACAGTTCTGCTGTAGCTAAACGGTGCCGCTTCGATGATGATTATGCCGCTCAATATTGCAATGGTAAGTATGTAGTTTTTTTCAATAGCAAGTATAAAAATTTTAAATAAGTTGTGTATTTCATTATAAAATTAAATATAGATAGAATGATTTAAAGCGAAGTGGGGCAAATTGAGTGTTGCAATTCTTACAAGGTCGAAATCATTTGTCCAAAATTTACAATATGTAATTTTAATGTTTCTCTAAATAAACTTTTTCTTCAATATATCGCAAGAGTTAAGTGTAGATAAAAAAGACAAAATAGAAATTTTAATTTAAATATTTAAGCGATAATTTACACGTATTGTTTTTCTTGCTTTTTTTGTTGTGTGATATATAAACTTAAATGCAGTTAAAGAAAATTTAATTTGGTAACAACATTTTTCTGTTAACATTTCTGTTAAATTAACAGGGTGTTAGGAGAAATCATTAGTCACAATTTATTAGAATAAACGAATATATATATATGTACATACTATAATATAAATAAAAATACTTGTTTGCTTCATTAAATATAATTTATTTGTATAATTAAGTTGTTAATATTTATTTGTTTTTGAAAGTTTTAATATTAAGAAGCATATCTTAAACATTTTAATATCAATATTTAGTTTAAAAAGATAAAAACAAATTTGTTTGCTTTATAATAATATTAGTTTTATACATATTAGATAAAGATGTTGTGTAAAATTTTAATAATTAATTAATAATTACCCTGTTTATTTAAATTGCGGCTCAGCAAAATTTCCGTCACCTAGCATCAGTTTTTTGTAATTTTTATTTTTACACAATTGGGTCACGCTGCTTCAGCTACTGACATTGCTGCAATTAATTGCAAAGTGCACTGCACGCTAATTTAATTAATTTTTTTTTAAATGTTTATATTAAAAAGCCAAGAAATTTCTATTTTTCTATTTTTGTGACTATGATTTAAAAAAAAAAGCAGGAAAAATAATATTAAATGTTAGTATTAATATACCATGGTGTGTATAATATTTTTGCTTTTATTGTTACGTTTAATGATATAATTAAGTAGTCGGAATCTTTACTCACAAACTTGTGAATCTAGTTATAGTAATATTATCATATATACATATATAGTTTTTTTTTAACAATCCTTGCATTTTTAGTTTTAGCTACCATTTTGGTAATTGACAAAGGATTATCTGTATATGTGGTATATAAATATATAAAACTTTAAATATGTATTGTTTGTTTAAAATGTTCTACTTTAGTTCATTTACTAGTATACATTTATTTTAACGTTAATTAACGTTGAAGTACTGGTCGTACATAACGGAATAGAAAAACAAATAAAAAGTTGACGACTTTTTATTAAGTAGAAATTTTAACCGTCTTTGTTGGTTCAACAAAATGTTATTTGCATTTTTGCATATTTTACGAAAATGTTACGGATCAATTTCATGTTAAAACGAATTTTAACATCAATGCCGTTCATTCTTCGTTTTTTTTTTTTTTATTTTTTAATCTTCGTTCAAATACAAAAATTTTTTATTTCTTCGTTTCAGATTGACTAAGAATTTATTGTTTCACCTGAATATTATTTTTTTTTAATAGACTTAATTTTAATAATTAAAACTTATTTTAATATATGTTATCCGCTTCTTAATTTTCAAATTAATTTTTAAATATTGATAATTTTTTTATTGTAGATTTCTTTTCGTTGCCCTCGACTCAAATTGGAACGCAGCAATGCCTAATGGATACAGAAGATTACAGCAATCTACCACATCGAATGCAATTTGATCAGCAGAACGAGCAACAGGTAGATGTCGCCAGTTGGAGAGTTGGTCATGATCACATTTACACTGAAAGTAATTTTCACACTCCATCAACACCACAAAATCAGATAGCACAATCACAATTTTCGCCAAATCAGCAACATTATCAAGGTCATTTACACCGTGCTAACAGGGATGTCAGTCGTTGTATGTCATCCCATATGATATAATTGTTTCATTAGATCTATTCCCCGAAAAATAAAAATTATATTATAATATAAATCCAAACTTAGTTAAACAAAGTAACAAAGTAATTCCTTCATAGAATTTCTGTTCCTCCATAATATGTAAATTATCTATTTTGTACTCAATGCATATGTGTGTATTCTAACTGCAGCGCAATTGAATAAAAATAATAATATACATACATTCAACGCAAATATATATTTATACATATATGCATATGTGTTCTTATATAAATACTAATTACCATTTAAAATGAAACACAAACTTAATCTCAATATACATATATATATATATATAAATAAATATATCAAAATATTACATGTATATAAAGCGTTAGAGACGCGTAGGTGTATAATAAGCACATTATTCTTTATTTAATATTTAAAAAAAATAAAAAATTTTATTTTGTTTTTATATGTGCAATAGATTTTGTATTAGTTGTACAACAAAAAGCTTTAACAATAATTTCAAATTAAAAACTTAATATTCGAAAAATATCTTCAAATATGATTTGTCTTTACACATAAACTAAAACTAATAAAAATTATATTTTAAGTTTATCATTTTTTGACACAAATCAATAAATATATATATTTATATATTAAATTAAATATTAAGCAGTTTAATAAGCATATACATTTATTTGAACTTATACTTTATAAAAAAAAATTTAATGTACTTACATTTCAAGCACTTACTCTTGTATAATATTTATATATAAATATATCTGAAGCAATAAGCAACATATAGCAATATTAAAAACGTACAACTCAGATAATATATTTTTTGATAGTTAGTAAATATTAAGAATTGGCTAAAGCTTTATAATTAATCAGATTTAAAGTAATCAGATTTGAAACAAATTGTAAACGAAGGAATAGGTTTTAAATAGCGTTTGAGTAATATATTCACTCATATTCTAAACCATTCATGATGAATAATTATCTATTATCTATGTTCCTCACAAAAACTTAAAATTGATAGGTTTTTCTGTTTTTATATTATTTTTGCAGATGACAGAAAATGTGATTTAAACGTCAGTAACCGCAAATATTGTTTAATTAGTGAGGAATTAGATTATTGTTGCCACACAATAAATAAAAATAAAATCAAACAAGATTTTAAATTAAATTCTGATGCAATTATGTTTGCAACAACTCATGGTGGCTGTGCGCATCATTATATTGCTGCTGAACTCAAGGATGAAAATTTTTTCGGCGATTTTTAGTATTAGAGAATAATAAATTGATTTTTTTTTCCTATTTCAATTTCATACAATATATATAAAATACAAAAAAATAAGAAAATTTTTATAAGCAAAACTCGGTTTTCGAATACGTATTTAATTATTATAATTGTTTGAAATTTGCGAAATTTGCATTTGACATAATTAAAACATATCAATATATTTCAATCAATAGGATATATTTACAATTAAATTTGAATAAAATCATTCTCACACATTGTATTTCTATAATTAAAAGTATTTTTGACAAATTTATAAAACCATTTTTTTTAAGTAATACTGCTCAAATGTTCATTTCAATGTATCATTAAATATTAAATAAATCATTAATTAAATGCTTTAATTTAAAACGAAATATGTTTTTTTTTATACTTAATTTATTACATTTATTTTAATTTATTGTATTTTTTTATTTAATTTATTGCATTATTTTTATTATATTTATTGTATTATTTTTATTTAATTTATTGAATTTTTTCTTTTTTTAATTTAATTTATTGTATTTTTCTTATTATATTCTTTTCAATTTATTTTATTATTTTTATATATAATTTTTTATAATTTATTTTATTATTTTTATATACATTTTTGTTTAATTTATTTTATTATTTTTATATATCTTTTTATATAATTTATTTTATTATTTTTATATATATATTTATTTAATTTATTTTTTATTATTTTTATATATTTTTTTATTTAATTTAATATCTTTTTTTATTTCATTTGTTTTATTATTTTTTTTTGTTTTTTGTATTTAATTTATTGTATTTTTCTTATTTAGTTTATTGTATTTTTTATATATTTATTAATATTTTATTTAAATATATATTTTATTTAAGTGCGTTTTGGGCGAAGACTATATTTTTTAGGATTTTTTATGACCCATTTAGATTTACTATTCATTTAAGCTAATTCTAAGTTAATTTTTCATTTTCAATAGTGCCACTTGTCCTTGGTACAAATATGTTAACAAGAGAGTAAGTCCACTTTTATTTAAGCAGATTATTTTCAACGTCTGATTTAAGTACTTTAGTAAATATTTAAGTTTTTTATTTTATATATTAATTCTTATATTTAATATATATTATATATATACTAAAAACTTGTAAAAAATAAATTTAATTTACTTGAATTGTGCAGAGTTAAGGTGTGAGACTAATTGGACAGCTGTATTCGGTTAAACTAATTGTGATAATGGGCAATAAAATTATGGATAAGTTCTTATATATTTTTTTGTCGTTTTTTTTTTTTGATATTTGATTTGGATTATTAATGTAAATTTAGATTTTTGTACTTAGGATTTTAATTATTTGTGTACGATTTAAGGTAGTACAGTGAAATTTCTCTCAAGTGGACACCGACTAAATCCGGAAATTCAAAGACTTCGGATTCACAAAAAATCAAAATTTTTTTCAAGTCCGAAGATTTGGTTTGCTTTCCGAATAACCGAATTCTTCAAATAGTTTATAAAACCGAATATGAACAGCACTAGATCCAAATGGGCGGAATTAATGAGCCTGTCTTGCATGTGCACCTCCCAAATAAAATTTTGGCATATATGAGTTCCAAGTACCCATATGTCCATTGTATGTCCATTTTTGAGATTTCAAGAGATATTTTCAGCGTTATAGTATTTTGTAGTCTTTTCGTATAATGAAGAATGCTTACAGTTTTATGCAGTTGATCAACCTTTTTCATTCAATGAAATGTTATTATCTGAATTATTCGAATTGGATTTTTATCAGAGATATATAGAATTATGGAATGTCAGCTATATTATTATATTATATTAATAGTTATTAATTAAATGAAATTAATTTAATCATTACCAGATCAATCAAAAGTTGCAGTTTAACGAAATTAATCTATACATATTTATATTTCCCTGAAGATGACTATTATAGATAGTCGAAATATCGGAAAACATCTTAATAAAATAATTTGTTTTAAATATAAATAATAAATTATTTTTTTTTATTTTTATTTAAATGACCAATTAGCCTGCTCATAAATAATTATTTATGTATTTATTCAATTGCAATTACATTGCAACTGTAAATAATGATTTTTAGTAATAATCTTTCATAATAATAATTTATTATATTATAATTTAATATAATATAATTAATATAATTTAATATATAATTTATAATTTAATTATGTAATTATATACAATTTATGTGTTGAAAGTGCTCTTAGGTGCTGCATAGAGATTCTGTTATTAGTTTATATCATTATTAGTTTATGGAACTAGTTAAATAGTCGTGCTCTCTTATCAACTAATCCATGAAAAAAAGTGTTTTTTAATTCGCGTTATAATATTTTTCTCCAAGTTATAGTGGGGAAACTGGGACGGTTAGAACATTACGGGTTTCTTTTTATTATCTTTCGAGCAATATTGATATTGGTTTTTTCCATCCCCATTCGGGTTACTGCATTTCTATTGTATCCTTAATTGGGTTCAAACGAGTACACGGATTGATATTAGTTGAATATTCTCTATGGCTACCAAATGCGCAATTTGGGATTTTCTGGAGGATTGCATTAATGTTCTTTTATGTTCAACTTCAGAAAATAGAATTGTCTTGAATAATAAGAGAAGTTTTGTATTAGTGGTCATATGATTAATAGTTCCAAATATTTTTAAGTAGAATTGTTCAATATATATTTCATCTAACTAAAATACAAAATAGCACATTATTTGTTTTTGGCAAATAATTCTAAAAAAATTTAATTGAAGAATTAAATTTTTGCTATTTATTCGCAAATAATAATTGCTTATGCTGTGCTATTTTTAAAACTGACGCATAAACTACAGTTATATAAATTTACCTAAATATTATAAATTAAAGATTGATTCAAAAATTAAATTTATAAATAAAAAAATTCTGTCTTAAAATTTAATTTTATTCTGTTATTGCATTCCCCACTTCTTAAGTTTAAATATGAAACTTTAATTAGTGAATTTAAACAATTTAATATTCATTTTTAATTAATTTAAAATTTGTTTTAATTCAAACATATGAAAGTTTGATTATAAAGTTTAAATATGAAACTTTAATAAATGAATTTAAACAATTTAATATTAATTTTTAATTAATGTAAAATTTGTATTAATTCAAACCATTTGTGTAATACATGATAAAGGTAATCTAAGAAATACTAAATTTGGTGTTTAAAAATAAATGCAACTTCATTGGCTAATAAATTATCTATCTAAATTTTGGCTGAGGCACGCGAAATGGCATTCTCCACATTAATATAGTTTTCTTGTACATCCTTCACCATGAACTCTACCAAATTATCCACATCATATTTATGTTTCCAATTCCAATCACGTCTTGCGTCCGAATCGTCAAATACTTGCGGCCAAGAATCTGCGATAGATTGCCGGCTATCCGGCTTATAAGTGACGTGCAAGTTAGGCACATATTTACTTAATTTTTCGACCAATTCCTCTGGCGTAAAAGACATAGCAGTTACATTATAAACTCTTCGTTTTAATTGTTCCGATGGCGCACGCATAAATTCAAGTAAAGCTCTAAAATTTAAGAAAATTAAGTTTGATATCAATAAAATATAATCACATTGTCTTTATAGTAATCAGTACCTTAGACAATCTTCAATGTACATCATAGGCAGCCGTGTATCAGGCTTCAAATAGCAAGTGTACTTCCCAGTGCGTAGAGCTTCATGGAAAATTGCAACAGCATAATCTGTAATAATAAAATGAGAGATTTGAAATTTCAACAGTTTCTTTCACTGGATAAAAGCAATTTTTTTTAACTCCAATTTAAGTTGTTAAAGCAAATTATATGCTCAATTGCGCAGACTAACTAACTTTGGAAGAAGTCTTAAGCGAGTCTTGAAAACGTCTCGAAAAATGTAGCTTAAAAGGTTAAATAAAGTGGAAAACCCAGTTATACATTTATGCTTCTGCTTCCTAATGATGTATGAAATTTTTTGATAAGTTGAAGAAGAAAGCAATTTTTAACTTTAATTTTATTTTGTATTATATCCGAAAAATTTATAAAGTATTTCGAATATTTTTTCATATAATTTAATACGGTATTCCTGTTATTTTTTATATAAGTGTGAAAATTACATATTTTAAAATAAAAATATAATTTTTATTGATATAAAAAAAGTAAAAAAGCTTTAATTTTTTAATATTTGAAGAATAATAATAATATAACTCAATTTATATTACTACTAATACTTAAATTAAATAGTTTTGATAAATTAAACAATAATTTCTTTAGAATCTTTATAGTTTTGAAAAATATTTTTTGATAACTGAGAAATTTTAATTGAAACGTAATAATTTTCTTTGATAAATTTTGAAGGCACTAAATATATTTATCATCTATGTCCATAGCTCTGGAAAATATATATATATAGTTAAAGGTGTTGCACTATATTCAAGGCTTTTTAAAAATCTATGAAGCATAGGACTACGTCTTATATATATATCTTCACAGTTCTGAGTGAATATTTTCACTAGGAATAAGGCTTTTTAATAATCTATGAAGTCTTCAGTTCATAGATTATCTTCACACAGAAAAAAGCTTCTCGTATTCAAATCGAATATGTAAAGCTGAAATATGTGCGACTCAGGGTCACTTCGCATTTTATATATAATCAAGTGAAAATAATTTTAATAAATTGTTTAAGAGTAAGATTCTAATCAAGTATTTTCGCGAAGTTCATAGAGCACTTCGTCGATTTTAAGGTCAACATCATCGGCCTAGTGAGCATGCAATTCATGCAATTATTAATCGTTACCGAAGGTAATCCACAAGCCGTTACCGAATCACCATTACATCCATTAAAATTGACTGTTAGATGTCGTTTACACGCTGGCGGCATCATCGGTTTTTATTTCTTTCGAAATGAGAAAGGAGCTGTCGTTATGTTGAATGCTGAGCGCTATCGAGCCATGCTGACTGTTATTTTTTTTTTCAAAAAATTAATCAGTTAAATATCGATGACATTTGGCATTAAGTTCCAACAAGACGGCGCAAATTGCTATACAGCGCGCTTAACAATTGATTTATTGCGAAATTAATTTGGGAACAACTTTATTTTCAGAAGTAGTCCTGTTAACTGGTCTCCTCGTTTGTGCGATTTAATGCCTCTTGTTTACTTTTCATGGGGCTATGTTAAGTCATTGGCTTGCTATGCCGAGAAACCATCAACTCTTGAAGCATTGAAATCCAATATTTATGCGAGCATTGACTCCATACGACCACATTTATTCCAAAAATTAATCAAAAATTTGACTGATCGAATGGATCATGTAAATCGTAGCCTGTCATATAAATGATAACAAAAAATTCATTTCAATGATATTTCTGTCTTGTATTATTGTTTCAAGTTCTCAAACAGCTAAAAAACACCCGATGTAATGAATTCATTTAATATTAATGTTTTCTTAAGAACTCTATTAACTATTAACCTATTAACTGTCCTATATACAAATTTATAAATAGAATATTTTCTTATTTTTCATACTATTTAGCGCAATTTCACAATTTATATTCACTATGTCCCAATTGAACTGCAACACACTTTAAACAGCTAACACTCTATAACTAAAGTATCTAAGGGCCATGTTACGCAGATGATCAAGTGTCAGTGATGAAGCTTAAACGTAATTCTCCGAAAAAATTTCATTTGTTGAAACACCAAAGGTGATTACTGTTAGAGTCCTAGTATCTCTATTATCAGTGTGAATAAATTTTTGTTGTTTAGAAACGTAATAAGTAATAATAAAATTAGGATTGTTGTAAAATGGTGAAGTATCTTTTAAACATTTCGGTGAGAAAAAGTTAATAACTCAACAATATTGGACAGCATTTCAGACTTGTTTCCGACAGCGCAGTACCTTCCGCGATCAACTATCTAACAAACTAGTTCACTAGCTTAATTTCCAGGTATAATGTATAGGCGAAGATCAGTGTTCCCTATAATTTCTTTATTAATTGGGTACAATAGTAACTGGTGAAAAAAAGTGTTTAAAGTCTGATTTTTTTTAAGTAAATACTTTTAAAAATCCCCCTTTAAGGCGTATTAATAAAATAGAAGTAAAAAAGGATTTTTACATTATCTTGTAATTGAAATTCTCGCCATTTTTAAAAGAAAAAAAATCTTTCATAAAATAAAATAAAAATATTGTAATCAAATAAGAAAAAACCGCTAAACATACTAGATCAGAAAAATCTCTTCTTTATGCATGAATGAATATTGCATAGGTTGATATTTACGCAGAGTGCGCCTCGTTTGCTGACCGATATATAGCCTAGTTTAAGCTAAAGGCGACCATATTGGAAATTTGAAATAAGTTCGGAAAAGTTAATTGTCTAATAATATTTTTCGGTTGTTTCTATACAATTTACCACAAGTGAAAATATACATTTCGATTTGAGAGTTCCGATGGTTTAAGTCGAGTTCGAGAGAATAAGGCAGAAACATATTTCAAATCTTGAAAACCATGTGAAGCCACTGGCTAGACCTCTTGCTAATATTACAAATGAGACTGAAAAGATAGACCCGCTATTCTGCTTTCCTAAAGATCACCCTGATTACTTCAACTTATGCGCCGTGATATCTGGTAAATAAGGCCTGGCTACTTATGCAGAGGCCCCTTAAAATTACTTACAAATCATTATATATTTTATTATAATAATCAATCCAGTACGTTCCCAGGGGAACATTGGGCCATATATATTTTATTATAGTATGTTTATATAAAATAATTAGGCTTTAATTTAAAGCAAATAAAAGAGTTAAAAAAAAATTAGACGACCCTATGTAGCAGACATTATTTTGTTGCTATTATTTCAAAAGAAACATGAGCAAACAATTTATTGCCCCTATGTGTTCTTTTTTTTTAAAGATTATTATTTGTATTACGTATTTGTGTTAATTTTTTTTCTGCTCTTTGTTTGAATAGCTCTATTGCCCATAAATACTTAGTTGTCTTGATTTTTTTGCAATTAAGAACAATTTAACGTATTTAGTTAAATACAGAGAAAAATAAAAAAATTATTTTAAATAAATTGTTTACCAGTTGTGCCGCCACCTGGTGGGTCACTAGAAATGACGCCTGGAAAGCGTAAACATCTAAAATCTAAACCAAACTTATGATAATAATACTCTCCGATCAGTTCGGCATGAACTTTTGAAACGCCATAAATTGTCCGTGGCCGTTGAATCTATAAATTAAAAATTATTTAAGATGCATTTTTCTAATTTATTTCTTTAATAAACTATTTACCGTGACGTTCGGTGTTGGATTCCGTGGACTATCTGGACCAAACGCTCCAATAGTACTTGGAACAAAGATACGTAAGTTATATTGTTTGGCGAGTTCAATGACATTATGTACGCCTTCAATGTTGACTCTGTAGGAAATATATTATACTTATATAAAATAATCAACAAAATGTTATATTTTTGGAGTATTTTCGTGACATGATATGATATAAGCATTGCTAATAAGAAAAGTTTAATGCTATCAAAATCAGGAAACATTACAGTGATGACGATGTTGGCACGCAATGTATTTTTCTATGAAGGCAGTGACTTAAGCATAAACAATAGTGAAAGTTTAACTATTGCTGCGAAAAATGTTAATGCAATATTCGTTGGCAATTAAATGTTATTAGTACTAATAGTTTTATTTGGCTTACCTCACCGCAAGTGGAACGTTTTGTTCACCTATAGCACTTAGCAGTGCAGAGAAGTGTATGAGCCAATCAATACGATGATCTACAACAATTTTCTGCAAACCCTTAAAATCCAATATATCTGCAAAAATGTATGGTCCACTTTCAATCACTGTTTGACTGGGTTTAATTATGTCAGAGAGTATAACATTTGAGTCGCCATATTGTGATCGGAGCAGTTTTGCACATTCAATACCCAGTTGCCCAAGGCCACCTAAAATAAGTAATAATTATAATAGCTTTACATTATCAAAATTAGCTCTTCAAATGCGCTAATGTTTGCATTTAATACCAAATCTATACAAAAATCTGTTAATGTGGTTTGATAAGTGTAAGTATACACAATATTACGCTATTGATAAGTTTCCTCGTGAGAATCTATCCACTTAAAATAGGTAATAGTTGTAAAATGCGTTGATGTTTGCATTTAATACTAAAATTATACAAAAATCTGTTAATGTGATCCGATAAGTGTAAGTGTAAACACAATATTGCGCTATTTCTAAATCTCATCATTAAAAATTTTGTGATAAATCTTCTAACTATCTGTGTTAAGTTGTTAAAGTTTTGAATATTTGTTATGATCTGTGTTAAATTGTTAGTGTTAAATATTTGTTTTGAAAGTTTTTCGTAAGTGCCTTTTTCTTAAACTCAAGAAAACTGTCAAATTGATAAAATAAAAAAGTGTTATTTCGAAAACAAAAAAAGAAATTATTTATTTTTTGAAATAAACATCTAAATTAAAAAAAGACGCATCAATATTAGAATTTAAATTATTAATTTGGTACACAATATTTACCAATAAGATGCGTAATTTGCAAATTATATAAAAAAAATTGTGATTAAAATATTTTAATATGGATTTTACACTTTAATATATTAACAATTTCACATGTTTAGCATGTTAAACACATAGCATGCAGAACCTTATTAGATGTATCTTTAAGCTATAATAGTTATACACTTCTTAAAATTGTAGTCTCCATTGATAAATGTAAATAAGTTTCTCTTAATTTCCCTTAAAAAATAAAATGTTTAAACCTTTCTAAGATATTTTCCTCATAGTTTTCATTATAAAATAAAATTGCTTTGATGTTAATTATTTAAAAAAACTGTCAGAGTAACGACTTTAAGTGGCATTAAGTAAGCTATTCTGTCATATAAATTAATTAAGATCAACTGAGAGAAAGCTTAATTGCTTCAGTCACGTAATAAGATTTGCTATAATTGAACATAATAGAACATATTTAAAAGAATTTAAAAGAATTCGATCTTATAAGACAATTTACTGATAAAAAATAAGAATTTTCATTAGTTCAAGCTTATTTTCATTATGTGAACTTAGAATAGGTTTTTGTTTCTATATACATTGTCTTAGTATAACGTTTTATAAAATTGTATTATGTGAAAATTTAGTACAGTCAAACCTCTCTATAGCGAACCTCCCTATAACGAATTTCTCTCTATAACGAAGTTTTTTCAGGTATGTAAACAAATTTTTGCATACAAAAAAACCTCTCTATAACGAATTTATTCAAATACAAGTTAAACACTTGTCAATATTAAGACTTATCAATATACAATTAATGTTTTTAATGTTATGTATATACCATATATACATATATGAATTAACATGAATTAAATATATTTAAAAAAAAACGTACATATTCCTCGGTCAAATGCCAAAAAAAAATTGAAACAAAAAAAATTTTGTTCAACCTCTCTATAACGAAGTTTTTTGTAGGCACCAAGGACTTCGTTATAGAGAGGTTTGACTGTAATTTAAAAACCTCATTATAAATAATTAAATTCGAACTTGTCATTTTTTTATTTTAAAAATGTCTGTATAATGTTGCAGGTGGGCCTCTTTTCAATAAAATTAGTCTTGTCCTTATCTGTTAGTAGAAAAAGTGACACTTAATGTTCAATTAGAGACATTCTTATCAATTATGATCAGTTATAGCACAAAAGATGGCCGTAGTATTCCGTCATATAAGCAATGTGATAATCACTAGCTGATTGAATAGACACTTATATACCTTGTAATGTCCTTAATGTAAAAGATCACTTTACTATAATTTGATGCAGTGAGCACCAAATTTTTTTGAATTTTTGCCAAAATTAACAAACATGATTTTTGTTGAAATGTGTTGATATATAAACTTTTTGAACCTTCTTTCTCCTTGCACTCGAAATTTACTATACCTTACAGTGCATCTATAATGTTACGGCGTTATTGAAGAATGCATCTATAATCGTTTTGCAGTTTCTGTTATCTAAGGACAAAATGAATATACTAACATATAGTTTCTACGACTCTATTATGTTTTCAATCATCACTTCAAATAATTGATTAAATCATTCTAAGTAAAATTCATTTGTTTAAGTTTTGTTTTAAGTTATCATAATTAATTCAATAATTTATTAACTTAACTGTCACACATAGAAATATTTGGAACCATATATAAACTTGATAATAAAGTTTATATCACCGTACATATCTCAATCTAAAGATAATGCAGCGTTAATGTACTTTAAATCACTTATTCTTTAGTTCGGTATAACAACCACCGAAAATTTGTTCCTAATGTAGCATGGATATTACATATTCATATTTGGGAGTAAGGAAGATCATAGGAGCTGCCATGTATCCTTCAGAACGCATATATTTCTTTTGTTTTTTTTTGTCGTTTTTCGTTTTTTTAGGGACCACTATCAATTTTCGTATTTCTAAATTATTTATTGTCTATTAATGCAAATTATTTGAATCTTTCTCGTTTACAGATCTTTTATAGATATGTAGCATAATAAAAGCATTTTAAAATCATTTACCACGGATATATGATATTTTAGTTTTTTATAACTTCAAAAAATCAGAGGGTTCAAGAACTATTTGATGTCCATAACATAATCTCATTATTGAGTGTTGTTGTGATTGTTATTATAACTTTCAATATATATAAAATTGTGGGAAAAGATATACCTATCTTTGAAATGTTAACTTTTGTTAATATGTTAATTTTAAATTTAAATTTAAATAAATTTAAATAATTAAAATTTAAATAAATTATAATTTTGGAAAAATAACAAACATATAATGAAATTTTGGCACATTACAGTGATTAATGATTCTGAACTCTATATAGTTTTATTCTAAAGTATGTAACGGCGAAAATAACTAGACAAATAGAACATTTGATTCAAACAAATGTAAAACAATTAATGATATATATATATAATATATATAAGAAAAAAACTGCAACTTAATAAAAACTCTTTCCAAATAAAATATCAAATATTCTGTTGAAAAATGGACTTGATAAAAATAAATTTAAAAACAATATATGAAGTAGAGATTTTGGGAATGTAGTAAAAATATTTAAAAATAAAAATAATGAATGGAGGTACTTGTATACCTATTATATGTGCTATACATTTTTTAAAAAAATCGATCGTATAAGTGTAAATCAGTTCAAATCCAAATCCAGATTAATTACAAGTAATTCAACTTAATGAATAGAAATCAGTGCATGAAATGTATGAAGCCAAATTATGAAGTATTATCAAGTTAATAATTTAAAATTCGTCAGGGGTATAGTATATTGCTCTATTGTAAGCATAAATTCTTATTGTATGGTATTCAGTAAAGTTTTAGATGTTCAGTTTAGATAGAGAGACAAGTTTCCAATGATTCATGAACGTGCGAATGCTGATGAATTTATAAAATTAAAATATTCTTATATGCTCTTATTGAGCATAATGCAATTAGAAGTAATCAGAGCATAATATATAATTTTAATATATAATTTCTTTGACTAATTGTGTGAAAGTATGAGCTAACATTATATCTTCCTTTACACTCTTTTCACACAGCCCCAGAAAGAAACATATCTTATTTGCAATAGCTAGAAGGTAACAAAGTATATGTTTGGATTATAAAGTATATTAATACTGAACCAAATATTTAAAAAAACTAAGTATAATTTGAGTTATAAGGCTGACATTTAATACTATTTTATATAAACAATAGGATAATTTATTTCTTTGTTGACTTAATCAGAAATTATCGCTATAATTTCGACAAAATGCAAAGCGTCGTCCAAAGTAAACATAACATTTTATATACAAGAACAACAAAATATTTTAATTTATTTAAATAAAAAACGGCACTCTTTACTTAAACCGATCTTAAAGAAAACAGAAAAATGGTTCAGTTTTAGTAAAGTTAGTTTTAGACGAAAGCCTTGGTAAAAACTATAGTCAAAACTTCGTATTAAATGAATTCATTTTATAAAAAAGTGAAACCACCCCGTAGTCCACTCCTGACTGAATACGGAATGTTGAGTGTGAGCATGAGTGTTTAAGATCATTGGCCGGGCTGTCCTTTGGAATATCGAGTAAGCCGACAAAAACTAAAAGTTGCATAGTGGCAATTATGGTGAATACAGGAAGTGGTTGATTTACCTCCCCATGTAGACATTTTCACTACAAAAAGTTTTCTTTTTAAAAAAAAAATTATGCAAATATACATTTTTGTGACTTTTTACAAAACAAATTTAAAAAATTTTTTAGTAAATTAATATATAAGAAAACTTGATAAATATTGTATAGTTTAATATCATAATAAATAGTACATTTAATATCTCAACTCAGATATGCCGATTTTTTATAAAAATAAAATTCTCAGATGATATTACATTCCTATTCAAAAGTTCATAATTTTTTTAATTTTTAAAATGTTTAATTTTTAATGTAAATTAGAAATTTTTGCTTAACATAGCGAGCTTGGATCCTTCTTTATTATTATACGCATGCAGAACATAAGCTATACGATCGGATGGATGTTAGATGATAATGATTTATGACAATAATATATCTAATGTTCTAATGCATGTAAAAACATATAGCGACATATAGTCGCTATATAACATATAGTAAAAACATGTATAAATTCAGAAATTAAGTACTATAAAGTACGGAAAAAAGTAGTAGGTGATCAAATTTTATTTGTATTTAATTTTTAGTGTTAAATTATTTTTTATATATATTTTATAATCATTTAGTATCTCTTATATATATATATATATATATATATATATATATATATATATTATATATATATATATATATATAATATATATATATATATATATATATATATAATATATATATTTTTTTTTACTATAATATTAACAAATTTTTATAAATAATATATTATTATAAATTTATTTTCTATATATTTATATATATTATTATTATATATATTGTTATTATAAATATTAACATGTTTTTACAGTATTTATAATAAATATTTATTAATTTAAAATAAGTTTTTTGATTTTCACCGGATTTAGATCGTTTATTTAACACATAAAAATAAAAAAAAAAAAAATCCTTATAATTTATATTAATATTTCGATCTACTTCATAGACCATCTTGGGTGTACATGCTCAGTGAAAATCAAAACCTTTTTGATAAAATGGGATGTAATTATAATTTATTATTTATTAATTTAATTATTATAAAATTACAATATAATAAAATTTATATTTAGAATCAAGATATTTTGTCAATTATAATTTGTAAGTATTTTTTAAAATTTTAGTAAATCAATACGGTATTATAAGCATATATATAATATATGCTTTATTTTTGACAATACATATATATATAATAGATTAATATATATCATTATTCAATTTTAGAGACACTGTATCACGCGATTTAAAATTTTCGTATAAATAAATTTATAATATAATATATTTTTTTTTTGCAATTTTAACCTTGAAATATAAACATTTTTAAAATTATTTTAAACAAATAAATTTCACCGACGTTTGAAAATTCGCGCACACATTTTCTATAACACATGCACGATTTTTGGCCTTCGTCAGAGAATCTTTTAAAAATAATTCATAAATTTCGCAAATTTAATTTAATTTTTTTTTTACACGCTTAGACCTTTTTCTATTTTTATAATACTAACTTTTACATAATAATTTTTTTAATAATTTTTTACACACCGGTTATTAAAATTTTTGGTGGTCTCCCATTATTTTCTAGATGCACCGTACGTTTGAATAGAAAACGTGAAGTCACATTTGGCACACTTCCGGAAAGCGCGTTAGTTCCTGCGGTTTGCACCAGTGATGTTACACATCGTCGAAACATTTCAAACTCTGCGTGAACTCTGCGTAGTTCTGTTCTAAATTTATACCGATCAGATGTGGAACAGCAGTTTTAAAAATATTGGAAAAATTTTTGCGCCCTACGGTGTGTTTACGAATCTTTCAAGATTTATGTGAATGTCCTACACGGCCAAAGTGTAACTATCAACTGAATTCAATTTTCAGATTTTTAGAACACAACATTAGTAGAATTATTGAGCAAAGCTGTGGCTATGGGCTCGACGATTGGAGCGGACAGACGTTAATTGACTGATGGCACTGCTGTCGCTATTAGTAACCAGTAAATAAATATTTTGCACATCTGCACAAGTATCTCAAGCTATTTTGAATTGTGCTTTTTTTTTCTTCTTTGTTACGCGAAAAACATGCGAATACGGAAAATAAAAGTTTATCAAGGAACGACAAATTTTCTATATTTACAATTAAATACGTCATCGTTGCCATGGTATGCTCAAAATGTTTGTACACCCTACACTTGTATTGACAGTTTATAAGAATGAAATAGTAATATTTTAATTATTATATAACTAAAAATAATTATATTTTTTTAATATATTTATTATATTTATATTATGTATATTTATGTATTATATGTATATGTATAACATATGTAATATATGTATGTATTTAATGTATGTATATTTAATATATATGTGTATTTATTATATTTATAGTATGTAACATATAATATATGTATATTATAAACATATTTATATATTTATAATTATATAATATGTTGAATTTAAATAGATTAAATTCTTTTAATATTCATTTTTGCTGTACATATTTTTTATAGCAGTCTTTAAATCCGATATTTAATATAAGTAAAAAAATTTTTAAACTTATGTTAAATCATTTTATTACTATTAAATAGGATTTTCGTCGTTTTCAAATAATAGAAAGTCACCAGATCATCATTACTTTTTTTACTATTTAGAGGAATCTTCCAGAAATTAGTTATACATTTCTTTCCCATTTTATAAAAATTTGTAATCTCATCAGCATTTCTCTTCTGATTCTTCTTCTTTATTAAAGGATTAAATCCTGTTTTGTTACAACAACTGAATTGGGTATATTTATGTGAAATTATGACATATCAAATTATTATGTTCCTGTAGAGCCAGACGCCCAGTCCAGCATTCACGTCATCTCTTCGGCGGTCAACCGGGTCTTTATTCATCACTTTTGTTATTTTTATCCGAGGAAATTATTGTTCTTCGAGTATATATTTAACTTCAGATGGATAGATTGCTGGTCTCGTTCACCAGGATTATTTATCGACCTTCTCTGGTCTAGATCCACTATGTTCAGTTTGACAGAAGCACACTCTTCACCACGTATAGAGGTCCTACGCAGAAAGAAGCTCGGTGCCACTATTTTGCGCTACACCTGCATCTAGGTTTTCATTTGTAATATCGAAAAAATAAAGCATAATTATTTTAAAACAAGATAATGTTCTGGAAGGCCTAAAATTACTTGGTGCAGATCAATAAAATACGAAATTAACAGCCAATCAACACACCTTGGCAGATCATACACCAATATTGTTGAGGTCAAAGAAGTGGCAGTAAGAAGACAAAGATGGAAGCAATTTTAAAAGTACTGTCTAAGAGTTTTAAGAAGAAATGTAATTGTTGATTTCGGGCAACATCAAAGTCTTAATATAGATCAGCTTTCAATGAGTATTAACTAAGCCGTGTGAATAGATTATCCAAACTCAAATACTACCTTCTATAGTGGCATTATAGTTTTATTAATTTTAGTTCTACATATTAACTAGCATTATTCATATAATATATTACATCACTCAATAAGTCGTGTGACTGACACACAGATGGCGCTGCCATTGTTAAATCCATATGACGTTTATGAAGTACCAACCTTCAAAGACTATGTGTAAAATTTCATGACATTTCGATTAGTCAGAAAAAAGTGACAGTCGTTTAGTGAAGCTACTTTCGTTCTGCAAGCACGGCATCGAGAAGTTGGAGAAGCGTTGCCCTTGAAGAAGATTATATTGATGAGTAAAATCAATTTTTGGCAGAAAAAATTTGTTTTTCTTAGTTAGTCACACGACTTATTGAGTGATGTGTTAGATTAGCTGTATCTATAATTCTGTATCTATAATACGTATTTTAATTCCCCAGAAAGACTCTTCTATTTGCAGAAATTATTTCAGAAATATTCCACAACTTAACTGAATTCAATATTTAACATAAAATAAAGTTACCGTTTGTTTTTGAAAATATGTAATCAATACACTTCTCACATATAATCAATTACCTTTGTATATATTTTATGGATGAAATACGATCTTTACGTTGTGCATTTGATTTTAGTTTTGAATCGAAGACGTTGCTTCCTTTCAACATCAGCTAAATTAAGACGTAAAGGACCCTATTAGATTTTTTTTTTTTAATAAAAATTACATTGCAATGCAGCTTAAGCATGACGACATCATAAATGTACTCCGGACGTATTACTTTTTTTACAATAGAGAGAAAAATACCAATGGACTACAGTGCGATTATAGCGACATCATAAAATAAAAATACAACGGCACATATTATTTTTTTATAATAAAAAACTGTGTAATATATTAATTACACAGTTGGCTATTTGGTCAATTAATTAAAATGCAAGACATTGTTTTTAATAGTTTATTATTTTTCCAATATTCGGATATTTAACAGTATTTAACAATAAATAATTTATAAATATTTGTATATTAATAACAATTGAAAGAAAATAGATATATATATATAAAATAACGAAAATACATATAAATTATTCAGTGCATATCTATTTTATAGTTTAGTTTGTTGTTAATTAAAAGTTTTAAAATTTTTATTATTGAATTATTAACTATTGAATTTATTAACAATAAAAGCAAAATAAAAACGATTAAAAAAAAATATATATTAACAAAATAATAAGAAAAAAATATTATACAGCGCATATCCCTCATTTAGTTTAGTCGGTTGTTATTTAGAACTTTTGATATTTTTATTATTAAATTATTAATTATTAAATTTATTAACAATGAAAAGAAAGTAAAAATAGTTAAAAAATATTTCTATATATATTAAAAAAATAATTACAAATAAATATACATTATCCAGTGCACATCTGTCTTATAGTTTATTCTGTTGTTATTTGGAACTTTTAAAATTTTTTATTATTAATTATTAAATTTATTAACAATAGTTAAAAAATAAATATTTGTATTAAAATAATAATAATGAAAATACATATACATTATCCAGTAAATATCTGTCTAATAGTTGAATGTTGTTAATTGAAACTCTTAAAATTGGCAGTGTTTCCAGAAATATCTCTTATTTCGGTATCTGTCTTGATGTAAGATTTTAACATTGTCAAGATCAGATGTATGTTTAGAGTTTACTTAGAGTAGAACCACTGCTTTGTATTAATATTTACAGTACACAATATTTAGTATTGTATTCAGTTGTTTCCGCATTAAGTTTGTTTTGTTTCAGATGGAGTGTTAAAACAATTTCAATATGGGAATTTTTAATAATATAATTCTAACATTGCTTTAGAACAGGCACTTGTGTTCATTATTGTATTTAAAGTCGACTTAAACTTAATTGTCCATTACTGATAATTAGTGTTAATAAGTGATTACTTTTTTATTGATATATATATATGATATATATAATTGAATGGATTGTGTTACTGAAGATAATTATTATGAAATAAACAACTTGCGTAAAGTAAGCTTTAAGCAAATATTAATTACTAATTTTTTTACTAAAATTTATAAACTTCACTTAGGATTTCCACAACAATTTATATAACGATATCAGTAAAAAAATATATGACTTATTATTACTAAAAAAATAGTAGTGATTATATCTTAAAACTAATTTAAATAATGTTTGCAAAAAGTCAACATATCCGCAATTTGAAGGCTCGATTCTGGCATTCAACATTTAATTAAGGCATGCGTTTCTGAAACTCATGGCATCGCACCACTCATTCTTTATAAAAAAGAATCGAAAGTGGATGGGCGAGAAGTATTTTAATGGGCTCTATTAAATTAACCTTGAAATTGAATTTTGTGACAAATAATTGAGAACAGTTTTAAACATGTGCGTAAAATTTAGAAAAATTTTGCAAAATACAGGGTATATAATACCTGCTATTGTTTATTTTAAAAGTTTTGACAATGTGATTTGCGATAATAATAAGTAAAAAGTAGTTAGTTATTATTTAGTGTTATCAAATAATAGGTCAAATTATTATGAAAAAATATCAAAATTAGTGACATATTTCACAAGTTAAGAAAAAAGTTAGTACAAATTTACTTTATTAATATAATAGTCGCTTTTATTATAGATACATTATTTATAATATGTGATGACTTTGAGAATAGAATTACATTTTGCAGTTAATGTTTAATATCCTCATTGAACATATCGAGTAATAATTATTGTAATTATTGTCATGTTATAACAATATAACATGACATTAAATACCATTAATAAAATGTTAAACAATAATAAAGAAAACCTTAAAAAAGGTTCAACCTGTATGTACAATTGATATTGTATAATACTATAAGTATAAATCAAATTACTCGATGACTGATTAGGTTTTTTGTTGAACGACAAACAAAAACAGTGTAAACATTGCTATTTCGGAAACAAACAGTGCTTAGATACATTTATTTATAATAACATTAGGTTCACTGCTTGTTTAGAAGCAAGCACTGATTTGTTTATGCAAGTTATTAGGACTCCTTATCATAACGGAAATGTGCCTCAAACAAACCATATAGAAGATCGTTTGACCCTAAACAAACAATCTTTAACAATACCGATTTTATTATTTAAACACTAAAAACTATTTAAAGTAACAAATATTGTATCTTAATATAGTATCGTACTGTATGAATATTGTAACTAACTAAACAATAAGATATAACACATATTATTTTAAAACTAAAATATATAATATTATCGGTCTTGACCTAATCAAACAATGACCGACAGCATAACACCATATTTTATTATACACTTCTAATCCATCCTATAAATATAAGCGAAGATGTTTGATGCAAGTTAGTCTTAAGAAATATTTTGAATAAAGTGGTAGCTGTTCAAACATGAACACGTATTTATAGTTTATTATTATAAGTCTGTTATCGTTTCAATTCTCAAAATAATGAACTAAGAAAAATATTT